GCGTTTAGTACCACGTCAGGTCATTTCGAATATCTCGTCATGCCATATGGGTTGATGAATGCTCCATCAGTCTTCCAATCCTTCGTAGATGACATTTTCCGGGATATGCAGGGACAAGGGGTGGTCGTGTACATTGATGACATTCTGGTGTACTCGTCTACCCGAGCCGAGCATATAACCCTGGTGCGTCGTGTATTGAGGAGGCTGTTGGAGCACGACCTATATGTCAAGGCAGAGAAATGTCTGTTTTTTCCAGGAGTCGGTCTCCTTTTTGGGTTATCGGTTGTCCGCGTCAGGGGTGAGAATGGAGGTGGATCGTGTGTCCGCTGTGCGTAATTGGCAAACTCCAACCACTGTAAAAGAGGTGCAGCAGTTCTTGGGCTTTGCGAATTACTACCGGAGGTTTATCCGGGGTTTTGGACAGGTGGCAGCTCCCATCACGTCCCTTCTGAAAGGGGGTCCGGTGCGCCTGCAGTGGTCAGCTGATGCGGACAGGGCCTTTAGGAGACTGAAGGACCTGTTTACGTCGGCTCCGGTGCTGGCGCATCCGGATCCCGCATTACCCTTTCAGGTTGAGGTAGACGCGTCTGAGGCTGGTAGGTGAAAAATCTGTCGATGTGCCCTTGAGCAAGGCACTTAACCCTAATTGCTCCTGTAAGTCGCTCTGGATAAGAGCGTCTGCTAAATGACTAAAAAAAAACAAATAAAAATAAAAATAAAATAAAAAAAAATAAAAAAAAAAATAACAAAAAAAAAAATAAAATAAAAAAAAAAAAGTATAGGGGCCGTTCTCTCTCAACGGTCCGGCACGCCACCTAAACTCCGCCCCTGTGCTTTTTACTCAAAAAAGCTCAGCCCGGCGGAGCGTAACTATGACGTTGGGGACAGGGAGCTGTTAGCTCTAGTTCAAGCCCTTAAGGTGTGGAGGCATTGGCTTGAGGGGGCTCAACACCCTTTCCTCATTTTGACTGACCATCGGAACCTGGAGTACATCCGGGCAGCGAGGAGACTGAACCCTCGCCAGGCTCGATGGAGTATGTTTCTCACCAGGTTCGTATTTAAAATCACGTACATCCCTGGGTCCCAGAATGGTAAGGCAGATGCGCTGTCCCGGCGGTATGACACGGAGGAGAGGTCCGTTGAGCCTACTCCCATACTACCGGAGTCTTGCCTTGTGGCACCGGTGGTGTGGGAGGTCGATGCCGAAATCGAGCGAGCGTTGCGTGCCGACCCCAGCCCTCCACAGTGTCCTGAGGGTCGGAAGTACGTTCCGCTCGAGATTCGGGATCGACTCATTTACTGGGCTCACACGTCACCCTCCTCTGGACATCCGGGTATTGGCCGGACAGTGCATTGCCTTAGCACTAAATACTGGTGGCCCACTTTGGCTAGGGATGTGAGGGTTTATGTCTCCTCCTGCTCGGTGTGCGCCCAGTGTAAGGCGCCCCGACATCTGCCCAGGGGTAAGTTACAACCCCTGCCCGTTCCACAACGACCATGGTCCCACCTCTCGGTGGATTTTGTGACAGACCTTCACCTCTCTCAGGGGAATAGCACCATCCTGGTCGTTGTGGACCGGTTCTCTAAGGCCTGTCGTCTTCTCCCTATGTCGGGTCTTCCTACTGCCCTACAGACCGCTGAGGCCCTATTTACCCACGTCTTCCGGCATTACGGGGTACCCGAGGATATAGTGTCTGATCGAGACCCCCAGTTTACCTCCCGTGTTTGGAGAGCGTTCATGGAGCGTTTGGGGGTCTCGGTTAACCTTACCTCAGGGTACCACCCGGAGAGTAACGGGCAGGTAGAACGTGTCAACCAGGATGTGGGTAGGTTTCTGAGGTCGTATTGCCAGGGCCGGCCGGAGGAGTGGGCACGGTACATTCCCTGGGCCGAGATGGCCCAGAACTCTCTCAGCCACTCCTCTACCAACCTAACCCCCTTCCAATGTGTGTTAGGTTACCAGCCGGTTCTAGCACCTTGGCAGCAGAGCCAGATCGAGGCCCCTGCGGTGGATGATTGGATGAGACGCTCGGAAGAGACGTGGAACGCTGCCCACGTCCACCTGCAGCGGGCCGTCCTTCGTCACAAGGCGAGCGCCGATCTCCACCGCAGTGAGGGGCCGGTGTACGCACCCGGAGATCGAGTCTGGCTCTCTACCAGAAACCTACCCCTCCGCCTGCCCTGCCGGAAGCTGGGTCGGCGGTTTGTGGGGCCCTTTAAAGTCCTGAGAAGATTGAACGAGGTGTGTTATAGGTTACATTTACCTGTTGAGTATAAGAATATTAACCCCTCGTTCCATGTGTCTCTTCTCAGGCCGGTGGTAGCTGGTCCACTCCAGGACAATGAGATAGGGGAGACTCCTCCGCCCCCACTGGACATCGAGGGGGCTCCGGCGTACACCGTTCGGTCCATATTGGACTCAAGACGCCGGATGGGGGGGGGGTCTCCAGTATCTCGTGGAGTGGGAGGGGTACGGCCCGGAGGAGCGGTGCTGGGTGCCGCGGAGGGACATCCTAGACCCATCTCTCCTGTTGGAGTTCCACCGGGACCATCCCGCGCGCCCTGCTCCGCGTCCTCCTGGTCGTCCCCGAGGCCGGAGTCGGCGCACGGCTGGAGCCGCGCGTCAAGGGGGGGGTACTGTCACGGTTTCGGCCGAGGCTGCTCCTCCTCCTGGTTCGGGCAGGCTTCGGCGGTCGTCGTCCCCGGAGTACTAGCTGCCACCGATCTATGTTTCATGTTCGTTTGGTTTTGTCTTGATGTTGTACACCTGTGTCTTGTTAGTCCTCGTTAGTGTCCTATTTAGTTCTCGTTGAGTGTGTTTGTCTTTGTGTGTGATTGCTCTTCTGTTTTGTGTTGGAGCTACGTACTTCCCTCCAGTGTTTTGGAGAGGTTTTTCGCACATGTTAGTGCGGCGTTTGTTTGACGCCTGTGTGCGCCGTTATTTCGCCTTCGGGCTTATCGTGCTTATTTTCTACGTGAATATTGCACTAAAGTCTTTTGGACTGAGCTTCTGCGTCCTGCGCTTGATTCATGCACCACACCCACCTTCAGCACCCCTTGACACTCTCTCTCTCTCTCTCTCTCTCTCTCTCGGATACAGTTTCCCATCCTCAACTTGTTTATACAGAACTCAAACCCTACCCATGGGATGACACACTGTCTACTACACAGATCTAGGATCAGAAAAACATAACCACTGTCTTCAATCAGTATGGGGCAACTCTAATCTGTGCTTCCCAAAAGTTGCTGCACTATGCTCAGCCTGGTCTCATAGACTAGGCGTAACATAGTAAATATAAATCTGGAACAGTCAAATTAGTAAGACATATTCCATTTGGTATGGTTACATGAGACTACTTAAGGAAAAAACAAAAGTAGTGTAGTTGGCCAGGGTTGGTGGGCGTACAATGCGAATGTCTAGCAACCCAAAGGTTGCGAGTTTGAATCTCAACATGGACAACTTTAGCATTTTAGCTAATTAGCAACTTTTCAACTACTTACTACTTCTTAGTGACTTTGCAACTACTGTACTTAGCATGTTAGCTAACCCTTCCCCTAACCTTAACTATTTTAGCTAACCCTTCCCCTAACCCTAACCTTAATCATTTTAGCTAACCCTAACCCTAACCTTAACCCTTTAACCTAACTCCTAAACGTAACCCTAACCCTAACCCTAATCCCTAGCCTAGCTAACGTTAGTCAGCTAGCTAACTTTAGCTACCATAACATATTGTATGTTTTACAAATTCGTAACATATCATAAGAATTGTAATTCATAACATATCATTCGAAATGACTGATGGACACCCACAAATTAATACATGCCATACGAAACGTAACATATCATACTAAATGAAGTGTCTCGAATTTATGTAAAGAATGATACGAAATGCTTTGAGACCACGTTGCTATACTGCACTACCTGAAGCTTTTAGGGATGGTTCCCCGGACCCAGAAATGGAATTAACCCCTATCCTGGTTTCTGGCCAATCCCAGTCACGAGCCCAACCACAAATCCACCATCTGGGAAACACAATCTACAGAAGATAACACTACATTACCAGCATTGTATGTTGTACCATAATACCGTGATGCTTTATGTAATTCTTGTTAAATCTCCATCCTGGTATAGCCCCGCCTTCAATACCTACTGGGAAACCAGTCAATTAGCAAACAACAGGAAACAGTACTGGGCCCATGCCTGCCATTGTGAAAACCCTTGGTGTAAGCCAGAGCTAACACCTATACAGTATATATAGACTTTAGCTCAGCGGGCAAACGCCATCTTGAGTTACACAGATGACCTGGGATCAATACCCAGATGGTTCAGTTCATTTCACATTGGTGAAAAAAGGTCACAATGGTGCCTGGACTCAAGTCACACAGTTGATGTCTAGCCTATCAGTTGCTGAGGTCAAAGTATAGCTGAGGTAATTCGGTGAATGCATAAGCCTTATGCTCACTGGGCTAACATCGTCGTGGAAAGCACAGATGACCTGGGCTCAATACCATTTTCCCTGTGCTATTATCTCTACTAGTGTACTACTTACTTTTAAGGCTATAAGAATAGCATCCTCAACCTGCATGGCTAAGTGTACTTTTGAATGAGCATGGTGGGGTGACGTGATAAGCAATCCAGTTATATAAGGATGCATTGGGGAATTAGTTACCTGAAAGTCCACTTCAGCTACACTGAAGAATCCAGGCTATAACCATCACAACTCTTCCCTCCATGGGTGATATTGTTAAATTAAAATCCAATTCATTTTCCAGTCTGGTAGCCTAAATAAGTAGGGGCACTGTGGCTGGCCTATGCCACGTCATGGGCACGCATTTCAACACACACACACACATACATACAGCGCAGGGATAGCTCAATTCGCGCTCGTGCTTATCAGACGGAAATGCGGCGCCCGCTCAACCGTGACTAAACACAGGGGGCTATCACGCGCACGCGCTCACGTCATCTCTGGTGGACCCGCCTTGTAACTTCCTATGCCAGGAGTTTGTCAGATGCGCATGTAGCGGCTCGCGGGGTTCTAAATGGAACAATGTGACTGGTCGGAAGTGACAGCCTTAACCGTGTGGGGTTAACGATTAAGCCAGGTACGGGCCGTTACCGTAAATAAGGCATGCATACCGGCACCCACGCATCAGGCTGCAGCACACATTATAACGGAGTGCAGGATACGAGACAACAGTTTTGACAGGATACGAGACAACCGTTTTGAGGCGTTCAGCAGTGCGCTCTGTTCTGTGTGGTTTCTCTCGTCTCCTCTGTGGACCTCTGCGTTTTAGGTAAAGAACTGTCTGTTATACCAGATGTGCTGGTACCGATCCAGACATATTGGACTGGGGGATGCTTTTCACCTCAGGCTATTTTCCTCTTTTATTCCTCGCTGCTCTCTTTATCTCTCCCCCCTCCCCCCTCTCCCCCTCTCTCTGTGAAGGGAATCGTTGTTTTTTGTCATTACCACTTTAGAGAATATTCCCTGGCTCATGTTACCGTTATGTTATGGTTCATCTAGCTGTCACGTCAGTTGCCTGAAATATTTCATTATACATAACTGGGCTACAAGTGGGTGGCTGACTAAATTTGGAGAGAAAAAATCCCCACGATCAATAATCGGGTTGTGTTGGCATTATCACAAACTCACAGAAGGGTTCCTTCCCCCTATTCACCCACGACCAAGCTTGTACTAATTTACGCCTTTGCTGTGTTGGGCTGCGGGGTATTGGTCTTGACTACTAAACAGAGGATTGTTTCAGGACCAGGACCAGGGGGGAAACCAAATGCGCACTAACGTAGGAGCGTATCTGATGTCTTAACATGTGGGGGGAGAATCAGCATTAGAGGACGTAGCCTACACCTCGGCTATTGGCAGAATATTTGTAGCCGGCCAGAGGAATTTACATGTTTGGCGCTGTATGAAACCGTTTGTAAACTCTTCCATAGGTGACCCCTCTTCATAACGCCAAACAGAGTCCGAGTAAAGTGTTGAGTTTTGTTAGTGCAACACGCTGCTTTTTTAAGGTTAATATCCTACCCTTAGTCAACTCAGCTTGAAGTAGACCGCTGAAAGTAAAGGCTGATTTAGGTAGGCTATAGCCGATTCTCTAAGGCAGGGCTCTCCAACAAACAGATTTATTCCAACCGGTGCCTATACCAAATAAATTCAGTATTGCCATGTCCATTCCATGGCAGCCATTTGTGGTCAACAATGCGCATTTATAGGCTTGGCTACAAAAAAAAGCTGAAGCTGATGTAATGTTCCCTGTGAAAGAGACAGAAAATGTAGCCTATTCTTAAGTTAGGGTAGGTAACAACACATCTGCCACACTGATCCTTAACACGGGGGCCCCTCAGGGGTGCGTGCTCGGTCCCCTCCTGTACTCCCTGTTCACCCATGACTGCATGGCCAGGCACGACTCCAACACCATCATTAAGGTTGCCGACGACACAACAGTGGTAGGCCTGATCTCCGACAACGATGAGACAGCCTATAGGGAGAAGGTCAGAGACCTGGCCGTGTGGTGCCAGGATAACAACCTCTCCCTCACGTGATCAAGACAAAGGAGATGATTGTGGACTACAGGAAAAAAAAGAGGACTGAGCACACCCCCATTCTCATCGACGGTGTTGTAGTGGAACAGGTTGAGAGCTTCAAGTTCCTTGGTGTCCACATCACCAACAAACTATCATGGTCCATACACACCAAGACAGTCGTGAAGAGGGCACGACAAAGCCTATTCCCCCTCAGGAGACTGAATAGATTTGGCATGGGTCCTCAGATCCTCAAAAAGTTATTCAGCTACATCATCGAGAGCATCCTGACAGGTTGCATCACCGCCTGGTATGGCAACTGCTCGGCCTCCGACCGCAAGGCAGTACATCACTGGGGCCAAGCTTCCTGCCATCCAGGACCTCTATACCAGGCGGTGTCAGAGGAAGGCCCTAAAAATTGTCAAAGACTCCAGCCACCCTAGTCATAGACTGTTCTCTCTGCTACCGCACGGCAAGCGGTACCGGAGCGCCAAGTCTAGGTCCAAAAGGCTTCATAACAGCTTCTACCCCCAAGCCATAAGACTCCTGAACAGCTAATCATGGCTACCCTGACTATTTACACTGCCCCCCACCCCACCCCACCCCATCCCCCTCTTTTACGCTGCTGCTACTCTGTTTATTATTTATGCATAGTCACTTTAACTCTACATGTACAGTCGTGGTCAAAAGTTTTGAGAATGACACAAGTATTGGTCTTCACAAAGTTCGCTGCTTCAGTGTTATGAGATATTTTTGTATAATTACAAGCATTCCATAAGTGTCAAAGGCTTTTATTGGCAATTACAAGTTTATGCAAAGAGTCAATATTTGCAGTGTTGACCCTTCTTTTTCAAGACCTCTGCAATCCCTCCTGGCATGCTGTCAATTAACTTCTGGGCCACATCCTGACTGATGGCATCCCATTCTTGCATAATCAATGCTTGGAGTTTGTCAGAAGTTGTGGGTTTTTGTTTGTCCACCCACCTCTTGAGGATCGACCACAAGTTCTCAATGGGATTAAGGTCTGGGGAGTTTCCTGGCCATGGACCCAAAATTACGATGTTTTGTTCCCCGAGCCACTTAGTTATCACTTTTGCCTTATGGCAAGGTGCTCCATCATGCTGGAAAAGATATTGGTCGTCACCAAACTGTTCTTGGATGGTTGGGAGAAGTTGCTCTCGGAGGATGTGTTGGTACCATTCTTTATTCATGTCTGTGTTCTTAGGCAAAATTGTGAGTGAGCCCACTCCCTTGGCTGAGAAGCTACCCCACACATGAATGGTCTCGGGATGCTTTACTGTTGGCATGACACAGGACTGATGGTAGCGCTCACCTTGTCTTCTCCGGACAAGGTGTTTTCCGGATACCCCAAACAATCAGAAAGGGGATTCATCAGAGAAAATGACTTTACCCCAGTCCTCAGCAGTCCAATCCCTGTACCTTTTGCAGAATATCAGTCTGTCCCTGATGTTTTTCCTGGAGAGAAGTGGCTTCTTTGCTGCCCTTCTTGACACCAGGCCATCCTCCAAAAGTCTTCGCCTCAATGTGCGTGCAGATGCAGTCACACCTGCCTGCTGCCATTCCTGAGCAAGCTCTGCACTGGTGGTGCCCCGATCCCACAGCTGAATCAACTTTAGGAGACGGTCCTGGCGCTTGCTGGACTTTCTTGGATGCCCTGACGCCTTCTTCACAACAATTGAACCTCTCTCCTTGAAGTTCTTGATGATCCGATAAATGGTTGATTTATGTGAAATCTTACTAGCAGCAATATCCTTGCCTGTGAAGCCCTTTTTGTAAAAAGCAATGATGACGGCACATGTTTCCTTGCAGGTAACCATGGTTAACAGAGGAAGAACAATGATTTCAAGCACCACCCTCCTTTTAAAGCTTCCAGTCTGTTATTCTAACTCAATCAGCATGACAGAGTGATCTCCAGTCTTGTCCTCGTCAACACTCTCACCTGTGTTAACGAGAGAATCACTGACATGATGGCACCTGGTCCTTTTGTGGCAGGGCTGAAATGCAGTGGAAAAGTTTTTTGGGGATTAAGTTCATTTTCATGGCAAAAAGGGACTTTGCAATTAATTGCAATTCATCTGATCACTCTTCATGACATTCTGGAGTATATGCAAATTGCCATCATCAAAACTGAGGAAGCAGACTGTGTGAAAATTAGTATTTGTGTCATTCTCAAAACTTTTGACCACGACTGTACATATTACCTCGACTAGCCGGTGCCCCCGCACATTGACCCTGTACTGGTACCCCCCTGTATATAGCCTCCCTACTGTTATTTTATTTTACTGCTGCTCTTTAGTTATTTGCTTTTATCTTTTACTTCACTATTTTTTACTTAACACATTTTTTATTAAATTTGTTATAAAAAAAGAAAATTGTTGGTAAGTAAGCATTTCACTGTAATGTCTACACCTGTTGTATTCGGCGCATGTGGCAAATACAATTTTATTTTATTTATAATTTTCTTCTCTTTCAGGTAAACAGCAGCCAGAGCGCTGGAGGAGAAGTACTCTCCCGCAGTGCAGCTCCGTAACTCTATCCGTGTGCTGCAGACCTTTAAATACTCCTCATAAAATAGCCACTTGGTGAAAGGTGAGACCTTCCCAGCCCAGGACACCGACTAGCGCGAGCTAGTCTGAAAGGACCATCAGAGCGCGTGCAGGACTGGATGACTTTCTGAAAAGAACTTCAGGCTACTAGCTGGACCTGCAATATTTCATGTACTTTTCCATACCAACTTTTCAAGACTTTTTGGTTACCAGTCGTTGTTGACCAGATAACAATTGGTTTGTTCGTTTGTTTTGCTGTCTTTAACAAATATATAATTATGTTTCATTCTTCTATACATCTGTCTACCGTGCGCATGCAGTGAATGGAGAACATACTCCAGCTTCTCCCAAAGCACCGGCAAGATCTCACACATGCCTGGGGGAGAGCAGCTACGCACACCTGCCTTTGCAGTAGCCTAGTTGTGCCTTCAAAACGTTTTTTACCACATTATTTCGTGTTCATGACCACACCTGAGATCAGGTTATTAAAAACCGATCAAGGGAAATCTAAACTCAAACATCCCACAGCTTTTAGCCATAGCGTATATTTGTAATTCAGTTTACTGTCCCCAAAAGCTTCCGCATGGTACTTTGGTCGAAAGAGCAAGACAAACCGTCGGACACCGACATGTCATCCGGGGCGATAGAAATGAAGAAGGTGGTGCCACCAGTGTACCTCCACTCCAACGGCTCCGTTCACCCGGCTATCCTCACTGACGACCCCGAGGTGATGAGACCGGAGGAGAGGGGCGAGTACGAGCTCACGGAAGTGACATCCTTCACGGACAGGTCTGGTGAACCAGGAGATGAAGGCCGGGAGATAGTGGTGATAGACTGCCGGGCGAATGCCAAGGGCCAGCGCGAGGAGGATGCTCTCCTGGAGAACGCCAGCCAGAGCAACGAGAGCGATGACATAAGCACCGACCAGAGCCCAGAGCCACCAGCGCCGCTAAAAGAAACCTCCTTCTCCATCGGCCTCCAGGTGGTCTTGCCGTTCCTGCTGGCCGGGTTCGGGACGGTGGCGGCGGGCATGGTGCTGGACATTGTTCAGGTGAGGAGAAACTGTTTTGATTCACACCAATTTATTTCAGGTCAGGTGACAGGTCACATGGTCGTCAGACCAAAACTCCTGAACCTATTGATTCTATTTGATTCTGCACAGAGAGGAAGAGGCGAAGCGAGAGGGATAACTCAGCCTCAATTCTGGCTTCTCCTGCAGGTGGGGTTTTTCCGCTCACCAAGCAAGGAGTTTTTGTATTGAGGTCAATGAGTGTCGAATTTGGCCAGCAAGAAATCTAAGGCTTATTTGCTATGTGAGGTTTATTTGATCGAATAGAGGTGTTTTAATGCTTAGGTTGTTAAAGAGTGTACCGATATAAGTAGGACACGTGACATCCCAGCAACTTTGAGAAAAACCACTTGATTTCAGAGTTGTGCCTGTTAGTGCAATCCAGAATCCTTGGGACGTCACTACCCTAATCCTAACCTTAACCCCTACCCTAACCATAACCCTTACCTGACCCTAACTTTAACTGGTACATTAACATTTTTACATTTAAACTTCAATGGGGTAGGGATGTCCCAAGGATACTGGATTGCAAGGACCATTGTGGTTGTTCACACGCTTATCTGCCCTCTCATTTGCTAGAATGGTCCCATCTGAACTTGTTTCCTCCCGACTGCCTTCCATTTTTGAAGACATTTATTTTCCTTGTTAGAGCGGCCAATGGAGTATCTGGTCAATATAATGGAACATCTGTGTTCTGCAGTATGGACTCAGAAACAGAATGTTGAGGCATTGAGTAATGTTCCACCTGTAGGCTACAGACAACACTAGGCCTTGCTTGTGTCAGGATCTGTACTGTAATGTGTTTATGCTACCTCCTCCACCCTCCACCCTCTACTCACCTCAGTCCCGTTAAAGACAATAAGGACCCAGTCTTCAGCCTATTTTTACAGTCATGTTGTTAAGACATGCTCCGGTACTTTTGCGACGACTAAGTATTTTTTAAACCTCCCACTTTGGGCTGGATGTGTCAAAGTGTTCTTCATACATGCATAATCTATGAGCAGAATTACTGTCTTACCTCAATTAGCCACAAAATCCCTAGTTTGAAAGCACACACATGAGGGCGAGGCTAGCGTGGCTAAGCGAGTGCTGCTTGTATATATTGTAAATGGCCGGTTACCCCTTCACCCCTCGTCTGGCACATGTTGGTACACACTCCGTTCTTGGGAGGGGAGTAGGGGTGGAGGGGGGTAGAAAGAGGACAGCTGGACAGTTACATTAAGACTTATCTGTTTATTTATCTGACATATCTGTGAATACTGCTGAGACAGAGACTCAAACACATACAGTTGAAGTCGGAAGTTTACATACACCTTAGCCAAATACATTTAAACTCAGTTTTTCACAATTCCTGACATTTAATCCTGGTAAAAATTCCCTGTCTTTGGTCAGTTAGGATCACCACTTTATTTTAAGAATGTGAAATGTCAGAATAATAGTAGAGAGAATGATTTATTTCAGCTTTTATTTCTTTCATCACATTCCCAGTGGGTCAGAAGTTTACATACACTCAGTTAGTATTTGGTATCATTGCCTTTAAATTGTTTAACTTGGGTCAAATGCTTTGGGTAGCCTTCCACAAGCTTCCCACAATAAGTTGGGTGAATTTTGGCCCATTCCTCCTGACAGAGCTGGTGTAACTGAGTCAGGTTTATAGGCCTCCTTGCTCGCACACGCTTTTTCAGTTCTGCCCACAAATGTTCTATAGGATTGAGGTCAGGGCATTGTGATGGCCACTCAAATACCTTGACTTTGTTGTCCTTAAGCCATTTTGCCACAACTTTGGAAGTATGCTTGGGGTCGTTGTCCATTTGGAAGACCCATTTGCGACCAAGCTTTAACTTCCTGACTGATGTCTTGAGATGTTGCTTCAATATATCCACATAATTTTCCTTCCTCATGATGCCATCTATTTTGTGAAGTGCACCAGTCCCTCCTGCAGCAAAGCACCCCCACAGCATGATTCTGCCACCCCCATGCTACACGATTGGGATGGTGTTCTTTGGCTTGCAAGTACCCCCTTTTTCCTCCAAACATAACGATGGTCATTATGGCCAAACAGTTCTATTTTTGTTTCATCAGACCAGAGGACATTTCTCCAAAAAGTAAGATCTTTGTCCCCATGTGCAGTTGCAAACCGTAGTTTGGCTTTTTTATGGCAGTTTTGGAGCAGTGGCTTCTTCCTTGCTGAGCGACCTTTCAGGTTATGTCGATATAGGACTAGTTTTACTGTGGATATAGATACTTTTGTACATATTTCCTCCAGCATCTTCACAAGGTCCTTTGCTGTTGTTCTGGGATTGATTTGCACTTTTTGCACCAAAGTACGTTCATCTCTAAGAGACAGAACGCATCTCCTTCCTGAGCAGTATGACGGCCGCGTGGTCCCATGGTGTTTATACTTGCGTACTATTGTTTGTACAGATGAACGTGTTACCTTCAGGCATTTGGAAATTGCTCCCAAGGATGAACCAGACTTGTGGAGGTCTACAAAAATTTTTCTGAGGTCTTGGCTGATTTCTTTTGATTTTCCCATGATGTCAAGCAAAGAGGCACTGAGTTTGATGGTAGGCCTTGAAATACATCCACAGGTACACCTCCAATTGACTCAAATGATGTCAATTAGCCTATCAGAAGCTTCTAAAGCCATGATTTTCTGGAATTTTCCAAGCTGTTTAAAGGCTCAGTCAATTTAGTGTATGTAAACTTCTGACCCACTGGAATTGTGATACAGTGAATTATAAGTGAAATAATCTGTCTGTAAACAATTGTTGGAAAAATTACTTGTGTCATGCACAAAGTAGATGTCCTAACCGACTTGCCAAAACTATAGTTTATTAACAAGAAATTTGTGGAGTGGTTGAAAAACGAGTTTTAATGACTCCAACCTAAGTGTATGTAAACTTCCGACTTAAACTGTAAGTAGATCCTCATGGTTCTATTTTCTGATAGAATAGAGCTGAGCAGAACATAATAGAATAACACACCATATAATAGAACAGAGTATAGTATGTGCATGCAGCTGTAAAGTATAGTGTTCATTTCAGCCACTGTAGCTGACTGTAACCCAAAGGAGACAAACAACAGTCTACAGCCAGAGTACTGCTGGGTTCTGAGAGCCACAGGGGAAACAATTTAATGTAATTACTCTACTTCCCACTTTACTGTTGCATTGCCTGGTGTAAACTGGGTATGGATATTCAGTATATGATAATATGTGGATATTTGTGTTGGTTCCGTGTGTGTGTGTGCGCATGGCCTGGGTGGCTGACAGGTCATATATTTATTCAAGGTCAGCCTCTGCTACAGATAAAGATGGAGGTGTCTGGTAAGTGCTGGCACTGACTGGCGATTTTGATGCCAACGAGAGAGAGAGAGAGAGAGAGAGAGAGATAGAGAGAGAGAGAGAGAGAGAGCGAGAGAGAGAGAGAGAGAGAGAGAGAGAGAGAGAGAGAGAGAGAGAGAGAGAGAGAGAGAGAGAGAGAGAGAGGATAGAGAGAGAGAGAGAGAGAGAGAGAGAGAGCGCTCTCTCTCTCTCTCTTCCTCTCTCTCTCTCCTACTTCTCTTCTCCTCTCTCTCTCTCTCTCACTCTCCCTCCTCTATCTCCTCTTCTCTCTCATCCTCCTCTCTGCTCCCCCCCTCTTTTTTTATCACTGTTTGTTATAAAGACAGATTAGTGCCTCACTGTGGTTAATAGCCTGCACTCTTGTGTGCTGTTACTCATATTCTCTAACCAGGACGTTCTTTCTTTCCCTGTCGGTCTACCTCTCTCATTCAATCATAGCGTGCTGATTCATCTGTACTTCTCTGAACTTCCCTGCTAAATACTGAATTATTTCCACCCTGTTAAAGACTTAATAACAACAGCTATGATGATAAAGAAAAGAGACAGTGATATCATTTCCTGTGAAGATAAATAATAGATAATGACAATGTCGTCAATATAGTGAATGATTCTAGAAGCCTGTCTAGTAGGCTCTATCACATTCTAATTCCCCTCCCCTGACATTTGCTAACTGCTAACTCAGCTAACAGCTAACTCAGCTAATCCCCTTCTGCCCTTGCAGGAGGCAATTACCCTGCTCTCTCTCACTCTCGCTCTCTCTTTCTCTCTCTCTCCAGGGTGATGCATGTACGCGTTCTCCACAGCTTTCTCTATTATGTCTGTGTGAAATGTGACCCACCTATTTAACTTCCCTTAGTTTCCTCCTCACTACACACACACACACACCCTGTCTCTGGCCCAATTCCTACAAAGTCACACAGGAAAGACAACACAGGACAGTATTGAGAAGGAAGGGACTGTAGCTGACATTGAAGGGCAGTGTCCCAATACTGTCTGTCAATCCCAAACCTGAGGTCACAGTGTTCCAGTACTGTCTGTCATACCAAACCTAAGGACGCAGTGTCCCAATACTGTCGGTCAATCCCAAACCACAGGAGCAGTGGGCCTGCTGAAATGGTCCTCTGAAATGGACACTTTCACACCCTCTGAAATGGACACTTACTGTAGGTCAGTGAGAGGACAGGTCACAGATTTGGTCTTTGTTAGATTTGATTTATGTGTTTACATTCCTACGAATGTCAAAGGTCAAGACAGGTGCAATGGTTGTTTTGATGTTTGTCTGGAAGGCTGGACATGCTTCCAGTAGAGAGAGAGAGAGAACATCCCACCCCAGATAGTGTCTCAGCCACAGTTGATTGACATTCACAGATTAGATAGTGTTAAAATGTGGGGTAACTTGTTTGTCTGTTGCTTTGTATGATTTCTCCTATCTGTTTATCTGTCTGTCATCCGTCTGTCTGTCTGCCCCACACTGTGGCATCGGATGATGTGCAGATGACCAAAATAAAACCGCGAGGCGAGACATTGGTTTAGCCTCAGCGCCTCAACAACAGACAAACAATCTAAAAATACAGGAAACAGGAATTCATAATTAACACAAAAGCCTGACAACAGCCAACCCTCTACACCCATGGGAGGACATTTTGATGATTTGCTAGGCTCTTATCACATACAGTGCATTCGGAAACTATTCAGACCCCTTGACTACTTCCACATTTTGTTACAGCCTTATTCTAAAATTGATTAAATTATTTGTTTCCCTCATCAATCTATACACAATACCCCATAATAACAAAGCGAAAACAGGTTTTTAGAAATGTTTGCAAATGTATTACAAATAAAAAACAGAAATACATTATTGACATAAGTATTCAGACACTTTGCTATGAGACTCGAAATTGAGCTCAGGTGCATCCTGTTTCCATTGATCATCCTTAAGATGTTTCTACAACTTGAGTGGTTCACCTTCCAACAGGACAACGACCCTAAGCACACAGCCAAGACAACGCAGGAGTGGCTTCGGGACAAGTCTCTGAATGTCCTTGAGTGGCCCAGCCAGAGCCCGGACATGAACCCGATCGAACATCTCTGGAGAGACCTGAAAATAGCTGTGCAGCGACGTTCCCCATCCAACCTGACAGAGCTTGAGAGGATCTGCAGAGAAGAATGGGAGAAACTCTCCAAAAACTTGAGGCTGTAATCACTGCCAAAGGTGCTTCAACAAAGTACTGAGTAAAGGGTCTGAATACTTATGTAAATGTGATATTTAATAATTACATTTTTTAATACATTTGCAAACATTTTTAAAAACCTGTTCTTGCTTTGTCATTATGAGGGTATTGTGTGTAGATTGACGAGGGGGAAAAAATAATTTAAGCCATTTTAGAATAAGGCTATAATGTAACAAAATGTGGAAACAGTCAAGGAGTCTGAATACTTTCCAAATGCGTTGTAAACTATCATGAATGACAACAATTGCTGTCTCGTTCAAATCAAATCAAATTGTATTTGCCACATGCGCCGAATACAACAGGTGTAGAACATACAGTGAAATGCTTACTTACAAGCCCTTAACAAACAATGCAGTTTTTAAGAAAATAAAAAAAGTGTTAAGTAAAAAATAGCAAATAATTAAAGAGCAGCAGTAAAATAAAATAACAGTAGGGAGGCTATATACAGGTGGTACCGGTTCAGAGTCAATGTGCGGGTGCACCGGTTAGTCGAGGTAATATGTACATGTGGGTAGAGTTAAAGTGACTATGCATAAATAATAAACAGAGTAGTAGCAGCATAAAAGAGGGAGTGGGGGGCAATGCAAATAGTCCGGGTAGCCATGATTAGCTGTTCAGGAGTCTTATGGGTTGGGGGTAGAAGCTTTTAAGAAGCCTTTTGGACATAGACTTGGCGCTCCGGTACCGCTTGCCGTGCGGTAGCAAAGAGAACAGTCTATGACTAGGGTGGCTGGAGTCTTTGACAATTTTTAGGGCCTTCCTCTGACACCGCCTGGTCCAGGATGGCAGGAAGCTTGGCCCCAGTGATGTACGCACTACCCTCTGTAGTGCCTTGCAGTCGGAGGCCGAGCAGTTGCCATACCAGGCGGTGATGCAACCAGTCAGGATGCTCTTGATGGTGCAGCTGTATAACTTTTTGAGGATCTGAGGACCCATGCCAAATCTTTTCAGTCTCCTGAGGGGGAATAGGCTTTGTTTTGCCATCTTCACGACTGTCTTGGTGTGTTTGGACCATGATAGTTTGTTGGTGATGTGGACCCCAAGGAACTTGAACCGTTCATCCTGTTCCACTACAGCCCCGTTGATGAGAATGGGGGTGTGCTCAGTCCTCTTTTTTCCCCTGTAGTCCACAATCATCTCCTTTGTCTTGATCACGTTGAGGGAGAGGTTGTTATCCTGGCACCACACGGCCAGGTCTCTGACCTCCTCCCTATAGGCTGTCTCATCGTTGTCGGTGATTAGGCCTACCAGTGTTGTGTCGTCGGCAAACTTAATGATGGTGTTGGAGTCGTGCCTGGCCATGGGTGAACAGGGAGTACAGGAGGGGACTGAGCACGCACCCCTGAGGGGCCCCCGTGTTGAGGATCAGCGTGGCAGATGTGTTGTTACCTACCCTTACCACCTGGCGGTGGCCCGTCAGGAAGTCCAGGATCCAGTTGCAGCGGGAGGTGTTTAGTCCGAGGGTCCTTAGCTTAGTGATGAGCTTTGAGGGCACTATGCTGTTGAACGCTGAGCTATAGTCAATGAATAGCATTCTCACGTACAGTTGAAGTCGGAAGTTTACATACAATTACAGTGGGGAGAACAAGTATTTGATACACTGCCGATTTTGCAGGTTTTCCTACTTACAAAGCATGTAGAGATCTGTAATTGTTATCATAGGTACACTTCAACAGTGAGAGACGGAATCTAAAACAAAAATCCAGAAAATCAAATTGTATGATTTTTAAGTAATACATTTGCATTTTATTGCATGACATAAGTATTTGATCACCTACCAACCAGTAAGAATTCCGGCTCTCACAGACCTGTTAGTTTTTCTTTAAGAAGCCCTCCTGTTCTCCACTCATTACCTGTATTAACTGCACCTGTTTGAACTCGTTACCTGTATAAACGACACCTGTTCACACACTCAATCAAACAGACTCCAACCTCTCCACAATGGCCAAGACCAGAGAGCTGTGTAAGGACATCAGGGATAAAATTGTAGACCTGCACAAGGCTGGGATGGGCTACAGGACAATAGGCAAGCAGCTTGGTGAGAAGGCAACAACTGTTGGCGCAATTATTAGAAAATGGAAGAAGTTCAAGATGACGGTCAATCACCCTCGGTCTGGGGCTCCATGCAAGATCTCACCTCGTGGGGCATGAATGATCATGAGGAAGGTGAGGGATCAGCCCAGAACTACACGGCAGGACCTGGTCAATGACCTGAAGAGAGCTGGGACCACAGTCTCAAAGAAAACCATTAGTAACACACTACGCCGTCATGGATTAAAATCCTGCAGCGCACGCAAGGTCCCGCTGCTCAAGCCAGCGCATGTCCAGGCCCGTCTGAAGTTTGCCAATGACCATCTGTATGATCCAGAGGAGGAATGGGAGAAGGCCATGTGGTCTGATGAGACAAAAATGAGTATAACCCCAAGAACACCATCCCAACCGTGAAGCATGGAGGTGGAAACATCATTCTTTGGGGATGCTTTTCTGCAAAGGGGACAGGACGACTGCACCGTATTGAGGGGAGGATGGATGGGGCCATGTATCGCGAGATCTTGGCCAACAACCTCCTTCCCTCAGTAAGAGCATTGAAGATGGGTCGTGGGTGGGTCTTCCAGCAAGACAACGACCCGAAACAAACAGCCAAGGCAACTAAGGAGTGGCTCCGTAAGAAGCATCTCAAGGTCCTGGAGTGGCCTAGCCAGTCTCCAGACCTGAACCCAATAGAACATCTTTGGAGGGAGCTGAAAGTCCGTATTGCCCAGCGACAGCCCCGAAACCTGAAGGATCTGGAGAAGGTCTGTATGGAGGAGTGGGCCAAAATCCCTGCTGCAGTGTGTGCAAACCTGGTCAAGACCTACAGGAAACGTATGATCTCTGTAATTGCAAACAAAGCTTTCTCTACCAAATATTAAGTTCTGCTTTTCTGATGTATCAAATACTTATGTCATGCAATAAAATGCAAATGAATTACTTAAAAATCATACAATGTGATTTTCTGGATTTTGGTTTTAGATCCCGTCTCTTACAGTTGAAGTGTACCTATGATAAAAATTACAGACCTCTACATGCTTTGTAAGTAGGAAAACCTGCAAAATCAGCAGTGTATCAAATACTTGTTCTCCCCACTGTAGGTTGGAGTCACTAAAACTCGTTTTTCAACCATTCCACACATTTCTTGTTAGGACAACTACGTAATTTTTCCAACAATCGTTTACAGACAGATTATTTCACTTATGATTCACTGTATCACAATTCCAGTGGGTCAGAAGTTTACATACACTAAGTTGACTGTGCCTTTAAACAGCTTGGACAATTCCAGGAAATGATGTCATGGATGTAGAAGCTTCTGATAGGCTAATTGACATCATTTGAGTCAATTGGAGGTGTACCTGTGGATGTGTTTCAAGGCCTACCTTCAAACTCAGTGCTTCTTTGCTTGACATCATGGGAAAATCAAAAGAAATCAGCCAAGACCTCAGAAAAAAAATTGTAGACCTCCACAAGTCTGGTTCATCCTTGGGAGCAATTTCCAAACACCTGAAGGTACCACGTTCATCTGTACAAATAATAGTATGCAAGTATAAACACCATGGGACAACGCAGCTGTCATACCGCTCAGGAAGGAGATGCGTTCTGTCTCCTAGAGATGAACGTACTTTGGTGCGAAAAGTGCAAATCAATCCCAGAATAACAGCAAAGGACCCTGTGAAGATGCTGGAGGAAACAGGTACAAAAGTATCTATATCCACAGTAAAACGAGTCCTATATCGACATAACCTGAAAGGCCGCTCAGTAAGGAAGAAGCCACTGCTCCAAAACCGCCATAAAAAAGCCAGACTATGGTTTGCAACTGCACATGGGGACAAAGATCTTACTTTTTGGAGAAATGTCCTCAGGTCTGATGAAACAAAAATAGAACTGTTTGGCCATGATGACCATCGTTATGTTTGGAGAAAAAAGGGGGTTGCTTGCAAGCCGAAGAACACCATCCCAACCGTGAAGCATGGAGGTGGCAGAATCATGCTGTGGGGGTGCTTTGCTGCAGGAGGGACTGGTGCACTTCACAAAATAGATGGCATCATGAGGAAGGAAAATTATGTGGATATATTGAAGCAACATCTAAAGACATCAGTCAGGAAGTTAAAGCTTGGTCGCAAATGGGTCTTCCAAATGGAAAATGACCCCAAGCATACTTCCAAAGTTGTGGCAAAATGGCTTAAGGACAACAAAGTCAAGGTATTGGAGTGGCCATCACAAAGCCCTGACCTCAATCCCATAGAACATTTGTGGGCAGAACTGAAAAAGCGTGTGCGAGCAAGGAAGCCTACAAACCTGACTCTGTTACACCAGCTCTGTCAGGAGGAATGGGCCAAAATTCACCCAACTTATTGTGGGAAGCTTGTGGAAGGCTACCCGAAACGTTTGACCCAAGTTAAGCAATTTAAAGGCAATGCTACCAAATACTAATTGAGTGTATGTAAACTTCTGACCCACTGGGAATGTGATGAAATAAATAAAAGCTGAAATAAATCATTTTCTCTACTATTATTCTGACATTTCACGTTCTTAAAATAAAGTGGTGATCCTAACTGACCTAAGACAAGGAATTTCTACAAGGATTAAATGTCAGGAATTGTGAAAAACTGAGTTTAAATGTATTTGGCTAAGGTGTATGTAAACTTCCGACTTCAACTGTAGGTGTTATTGTTGTCCATGTGGGAGTGCAATAAAGATTGCATAATCTGTGGATCCATTGGGGTGGTATGCAAATTGGAGTGGGTCTGGTGTTTCTGGGATAATGGTGTTGATGTGAGCCATGACCAGCCTTTCAAAGAACTTCATGGCTACAGACGTGAGTGCTACGGGTCGGTAGTCATTTAGGCAGGTTATCTTAGTGTTCTTGGGCACAGGGACTATGGTGGTCTGCTTGAAACATGTTGGTATTACAGACTCAGTCAGGGACATGTTGAAAATGTCAGTGAAGACACTTGCCAGTTGGTCAGCGCATGCTCGGAGTACACATCCTGGTAATCCGTCTGGCCCTGCGGCCTTGTGAATGTTGACCTGCTTAAAAGTCTTGCTCACATCGGCTACGGAGAGCATGATCACATAGTCATCCGGAACAGCTGATGCTCTCATGCATGCTTCAGTGTTGCTTGCCTCGAAGCGAGCATAGAAGTGATTTAGCTCGTCTTGTAGGCTTGTGTCACTGGGCAGCTCGCGGCTGTGCTTCATGGCTGCCTTTCCTCGCCTCCTTCCCTGATCTCTTTATTGCCACTATATTTGCTTTAAACTTTAATTTTCTGTCGTCCAGGTCCTGAGGCAGCAAAGCATCCCCAAACCATCACACCACCACCACCATGCTTGACCTTTGGTATGATGTTCTTACTGTGGAATGCAGTGTTTGGTTTTCGCCAGGCATAATGGGACCCATCTCGTCCAAAAAGTTGACTCAAGTTTGTCAAAAAGCACCTGGATGATCATCAAGACTCTTGGAAGAACGTTCTATGGACAGATGATTCAAAATTATAACTTTTTGGACGACATGGTTCCAGTAATGCCTGGCGGAAACCAAACGTCTGTTTCCCTTCTCAATAGGGCATCTACGTTTCCATGCTTCGCCCCTGACCTGTGCACAACAGAAAAAGAGAAGCGTTGAAGGGACAAGAACCACCTGGTGACCTGATCGTTTGTGTCTTCCCCTGGCCAGGGGAAACCAGGGGAGCATGGTCCGTGACCAGGGTGAAGTGGGTACCTAACAGGTAGTACTTGAGAGTGTCTAGCGCCCACTTCACCGCCAGACACTCTTTCTTAACAATTGAGTATATTTTTTCTCTCTGTATCAGCTTTCGGCTGATGTACATGATGGGGTGCTCCTCCGGATGGGAGCACAGCGCTTCCTTCAGATGGCTGAACGCCGCTTCTGTCTCGTCCGTCCATTTCACTGTTTTCGGGAGGCGGGCCCTGGTTAGATCGGTAAGGGGGGAAGCTATAGCCGCAAAGTTGGGGATAAACCGGCTATAGTATCCTGCCAGTCTCAGGAAGGACGTGACCTGTGTCTTGGTGCGTGGAACGGGCCAGTCACGTACCGCATGAACCTTCCTCTCCTGGGGCTTGACATTCCCCCGTCCGATCAAATACCCCAGGTGCCATCTCCAAATTGTTAAATTATCAGAGATTAGACAAGAACGGCACCGCTTGTCCATAGGAGGCTTTAGAACTTTCAAGAACGTTCTGTTTGCACTCGTCAGTATTGGAGGTCACTGACATCATGCGAGTTGCTATGACGCTATTTTTCCTTTAACATTACTTAGGCATGGTCCCCCTTCCCCTCCAAGATCTGTGGCTGTCTGCCTGAAAGCATTCAGTGTCAATTAATTTCAATTGAACATTTTTGTTGTTAGCAACCAGCATAATTGACCCAGGGGTTCCCCCCTAGGAAAATAATCAAGGAGAAACACTGCTGTGTGCCATCAGTGTTACTGCCTGTGATGTCATAGGTGTTCCGACCGTTGGTGTCACTGCACAGTCATCAACATTGCGTTGGTGTTGCATGCCGCTGGGTTCAGAATCCTGCCTGTACGAAGTGTACATATATGCACAGCAGTTTCATATGAGCAGTGTTTCTGCTGCATTCATTTAGCTGTGGAACTGCGCCATGGCAAAATCATTGCCCCCACTGCAATCTTTTTAAATATAATATATTTTTTTACATCATAGTATTCCTACCAAACAAACAGTACTTTCGATAATCTGTCTGTGTACAGCACCGCTCTAAATGTTATTTAGCTCTGTTTGGGTACAACACCGTTCTAAAGGTTATTTAGCTCTTTGTGCCACTCTGGCAGCCAAACCTGCCTGCGCACGAAAACACAGTGCACTGTCCTCGAGACAGAGTGCTAGTCAGACTCAGAGAGACAGCAAGCCAGTCACTGATACGGAATACATATTAGGAACTTTGTAATTCCTTCTCCTCAGACCTTACCCCTCACCTAGTCAAGTCTCAACACTGCACTAGTCAAGTATCACCCAACCACCTCAACGCTCCTCCCTCCCCCTCAACCCCCAGTTGCAATGTTGTAGTTTTAAAGCTAATTTCCTGTCATTCTAAACATTTAGCATTTTGCCATGGCTTACGACGTGTTCATATGCTAGGCAGCTTTAGGGGGCCCCGTGAACACCCTCCCCCCACTGCTACTAACATTTCCAGAGGAAACACTCCATGTGAGCAACAGTGGGAAAACGGGGCTGTGTTCCTTTTCTTTCCTCTTGATACACCATGATACTGGCTGACTGTCCACATAGTTTGCAGAACTGGGGCTGGTCGTTGGGAGGTGAGGGTGTTGTTGGCTTGGCTCCACTGTTCCATTGGAGACAACACCTTCTTTGTTGATGGATCAATGTCCACCAGCCTTATACCTCAGCCCCAACCTCACCCCCCAACCTCATCCCCCAGCCCCAACCTCATCCCACAGCTTAATGCCCCAACCCCAGGCTTGTACCACTGCCTCAGCCTTATAGTAAGTCTAACCCAGTCATTCCTTAGCTATGTACCCCAAAATTATCCTCATCCTTATAGCCCAGTCTAGCCTCTGTCCCACTCTGCTGTTCCTGCCACTGCACTCACTGCGCTGGGCTAATGGAGAAACATCAGAGAGGCACTTTACCCCAGTCATCATTTCAGGGACTCATGGAGACCATCTCAAGGGCTGGAAAACAGCTAAAGTGAGGGGCAAAGTGGCCCTGTAATCAGCTCCAGGACCACAGAGTCATCAACTGTGAATTTCCATTTGATTCTACAGCAACTGAGCTGCGTGAGTGTGTGTAGTTGTGTGTGTGTAATTTATTCATTTTCTCTGATGTCTCCCATCACAGGCCATACAGCATATCTAAATTACCCTTTAGATTTAGCTGGCCTTGCTCCTGGCTGACTTTGTCCCTGACTAAGTCATTTACTGTGGAGAGTCTATGGTAACTGGAACAGAGGCAGAGAGTATTAAATACTCTCTTCCTCTGTGCCAATCTGCCTGCTAGCTCTCTGACTCAGCACGAGAGCTAGCAGGCAGATGGAGGGTTACAGTAAAAACAATGTGGGCTGCAAGTACTGTATGAAAGGTGATCAATAAAATGTCCTCTTGTTACAGTGTTTTATTATAGTGTTGTTGAGGACAGGGAGAACAGAGATAAATGGCAGGGGAAGAGAGAAAAGGCAAGTGGAGAGAGAAGGAGAGGGATAAGGAGCGGGTGGATGTTTAGAGAAGAGAGGGAGAGAGAAGTGGCAGAAAGAGGGTGGTGAATGGATACAGTGTGAGGTCAAAATGACCTTGCTCCTCTCCAGAGTAAATCTGATTATGATCCCAACACGGTCTGGACAGATAGAATATCACTGAGATAAGGCAGAGATCAGGTTTCAGACTGAATCGATATGAAACTCAATGTCAGCAAGACATTGTCGACCTCAGCAATGCCCAATATGATACGCTTGTCACGATCGTCGACAGATGAAGCAGACCAAGGCGCAGCGTGATAAGCGTACATTCTTTATTTGTGTACACACACGAACCAAAACAATAAACCAAACGATACGTGAAGTCCTAGGTTAAACACAAAACCCTACGGAACAAGATCTCACAAAATACTAGTGCCAAACAGGCTGCCTAAGTATGGTCCCCAATCAGAGACATCGAGCTACAGCTGTCTCTGATTGGGAACCACCCTGGCCAACATAGATATAAATGATCTAGAACAAAAGCATAGAAAATGTAACAGAAACTCCACACCCTGGCTCAACATTTAAGAGTCCCCCGAGCCAGGGCGTGACAGTACCCCCCCCCCCAAAGGCGCGGACTGCGACCGCGCCACACCAACACAACGGGGTAGGGGCCGTGTGGGCATTCGGCTCCGGGCGTGACCACCACTCTCTCTCTACCCCCCCGTAGCGCCTCTGGTCTGGCCCCGCTGGCCGGAGCTGGACTGGACACCGGTGGAGCGGATTGCTCTGGCTCCGGTGTGGAGCAGCTGACCGGTGCCGGACCAGGCACCGGTGGAACAGGCACGGACCGTGCCGGACTGACGATGCGTACCACTGGCTTGGTGCGGGGAGCAGGAACGGGCCGGACCGGGCTGACGACCCGCACCACTGGCTTGGTGCGGGGAGCAGGAACGGGCCGGACCGGGCTGGCGACGCGCACCATTGGCTTGGTGCGAGGGGCAGGAACGGGCCGGACCGGGCTGACGACGCGCACCATTGGCTTGGTGCAGGGAGCAGGAACAGGCCGGACCGGGCTGGCGACGCGCACCACAGGCTTGGTGCGGGGAGCAGGAACAGGCCGGACCGGGCTGGCGACGCGCACCACAGGCTTGGTGCGGGGAGCAGGAACAGGCCGGACCGGGCTGACGACGCGCACCACAGGCTTGGTGCGAGGGACAGGAACAGGCCGGGCTGGACTGTGGAGACGGACTGGAGGTCTGGAGCGGAGAGCTGACACAACCCGTCCTGGCTGAATGCCTATTTCCACACAATCTGTGTGAGGCATCAGCACAGGACGTACAGGGCTGTGCACTCGTACTGGCACTACAGCACGTGGCACTGGCGCAGGATATCCGGGACCGAGGAGGGGTACTGGAGGCCACGAGCGTTGAGCCGGCACACTCCGTCCTGGCTGCATGCCCACCTTAGCACGACACGTGCGTGGTGCTAGCACAGGACGTACAGGACTGTGCCGGAACACTCGCGGCACAGTACGTGGCTCCGCATAACACGGAACCTGCCCAGTCTCACGCTGCCTAGCCTGAGTACGGGGAGTTGGCTCTGCTCTACCTCTAGGCTCCGCCAACCACCCTTCCAGCCCCCCAAACCTGGTGGCCTCCTCTCCTAGTCCGCCGATTCGCCCTGTAGCTGCCTCCAGCAGCCCCGTCGTCCACGCCGTGTGCCCCCCTCAAAGAAAAATTACTTGGGGTTGCCTAGATATAAACGATCTAGAACAAAAGCATAGAAAATGTAACAGAAACTCCACACCCTGGCTCAACATTTAAGTGTCCCCCGAGCCAGGGCGTGACAACGCTGTTGGGTTGAGACCATTATGGGATTTTGTATCATAATAACTCAGTGATAACTGCATCACAATATCTGTTTTATCAGTATGAAAAATATATGCACTCACTAACTGTAAGTCGCTCTGTATAAGAGCGTCTGCTAAATGACTAAAATGTAAAATGTAAATCATGATAATTGAATTCTTATGAGACAGTAAAGGTTATTTTTGATTGAATGTAAATGTTGAGATCACGCAGGAACACGCTGTGTAGTTGACAGCGTGTTGTGTTGTTGTGTGTAGTTGTGTAACTGTGTGTTGTGTTCTTCTGTTGCAGCACTGGACGGTGTTTACAGAGGTGACAGAGGTCTTCATCCTGGTCCCTGCGCTGCTGGGGTTAAAGGGCAACCTGGAGATGACACTGGCCTCCAGACTGTCCACAGCGGTGAGTGTGCGTGTGTAGGTGCTTGTGTGGACATGTATGCTTGTGTGCGTGTGTGTGTGGGGTGTGTTCGCATTCAGTTATTTCTCTACATCAGGAGGAAGAGAGTGGAACTCTAGAAACCATAGTGTTTGCATAATATTCCAGTCAGATAAATCAGTATAACCAGTGGTGGAAAAAGTACCCAATTGTCATACTTGAGTAAAAGTAAAGATACCTTAATAGAAAATTACTTAAGTAAAAGTGAAAGTCAGCCAGTAAAATACTACTTGAGTAAAAGTCTAAAAGTATTTGGTTTTAAATATACTTAAGTATCACAAGTAAATGTAATTGCTAAAATATACTTAAGTAGTAAAAGTATAAATCATTTCAAATTCCCTATATTAAGCAAACCAGACAGCACCATTTTCTAGTTTTTTTAATTTACGGATAGCCATGGGAAAACTCCAACACTCAGACATAATTTACAAACGAAGCATGTGTGTTTAGTGAGTCCGTCAGATCAGAGGCAGTAGGGATGACCAGGGATGTTCTCTTGAGAAGTGCATGAATTGGACCATATTGCTGTCCTGCTAGCCATTCAAAATGTAACAAGTACTTTTGGGTTGCAGGGAAAATGTATGGAGTAAAAAGTACATTTATTTTCTTTAGGAATGTAGTGAAGTAAAAGTAAAAGTTGTCAAAAATATAAATAGTAAAGTAAATTACAGATACCCCCAAAAACTACTTAAGTAGTACTTTAAAGTATTTTTACTTAAGTACTTTACACCACTGAGTATGACTAATATCAACATGATCAGCCTGTTGGAGCACAATAGAGAGTTTGACTGATGAGAGGCCTGCAGGTGGGCTACAGGTGAACAAACACTAATCACAGGTGTCTTAAAGCAGCAATCAGCAGTTGAAACAACAACAAAGTACGCTGCCCACCACTGTTTTGGTATAAAGTGGGGGGATGGGGCTTGAGAAATGTAACCACTCTCAAATTCAAAGACAGAGCTATGGATGCAAGAGCTGACCATCCATGATATCAGTTTTAACCATGTATTTTATGCTATACAGTGTTTGTTTACATTTACTTTCTTTACAAACATTGTAGTAAAACAAGCTCATATTTTGGTTTCTGATGGGGTACGACAGATGAACTAAGCTCATGAGGCATTTATAAGTAATATTCTTCAAGAATCAATGGGAACATATCATTAATTTATGTCCAAAAATGGATGTAGCAACTGCTGATTGCCCTTTTAACTCACACTCACCTCAGTGTATGAAGGGGCTTTGTCTTAGTTATCATGGAAACATTCAGCGTAAACTTGATGAAACCAGATGAGAGAGAGTTTAGTTTGATGTTTCCAGAAGTAAAGTAAGTAATTAAAGTAGCCTTTGGCTAGTGCGAGCCGAAACAGCTCATAGGAGCAGGAGCCTATCTCCTGTTTCTGTAGCGTGAGGCAGCTTGATGTACAAGTACACCCCCTGGATGGTACAGATGTTGGATCTTAAGTTGATTACTCTTTTGTCGCAGAGAATTTTCCTGATGCACCAGGAAATTCAAATGATCCTCGTGAGTGGCTGAAAATGAGCAGTTCTCTTTCTGTCCATGCGGGGGGCAGTCGAGTCATTGGGATCAGGGCTTGCTATCAAAATAATGTTATCTCTGACTTGCTCAAATGCTAGGCCTAGGTCCTACTACTGCAAACATTCAAATGTACAAAAATGTATCTGAAATGCAACCATACACATCAACAACCGTCGTTTTATATAGCTTAATAACACAAGATAGATATTGGTCTCCGCTAGGCTACTACATACAAGTGTCTAGCAACCGGTGCCCCCGCACATTGACTCGGTACCGGTACCCCCTGTATATAGCCTCGCTATTGTCATTTTTACTGCTGCGCTTTAATTATTTGTTACTTTTATTTGGTATTATTTTATATTGTATTTTTGTGTGATTTTTCTTTTGGTATTCTTTCTTAAAACTGCATTGTTGGTTAAGGGCTTGTAAGTAAGCATTTCACTGTAAGGTGAATACCTGTTGTATTCGGCGCATGTGACAAATACAATTTGATTTGATTTGTAGGGGTATTCAACTCTTACCCTATGAGGTCCAGAGCCTGCTGGTTGTCTGTTCTACCTGATAATGAATTGCATACACCTGGCGTCCCAGGTCTAAATCAGTGCCTGAATAGAGGGGAACAATGAAAAAATGCAGTGGAACTGGCTTCGAGGTCCAGAGTAGAATTTGAGGGGTCTAGTGTATCCTAAGGTGAATGAACTGTCAAGATTTTGTTCAATCGTGTCCTGGGGTGGTCTAGCAGTTTGGGCCGCTGCCTTCAGCGCACACACATAAGCCTACATTCTCGGCCCACGCCCTTTTGGCACAAGAAACTCAATCCCCTGATTGACTTGATGTAGTTATACATTTCAAATATGGACAGTCCATGGTTATTTTACCCCCAATCTTGATTTTTTTTATGACCGTACCAGACACTTGTATAACATAAATAGGAAACAAATAAAGTAATAAGTCAGTAGGCTACACCAACATTAGTTTCCATTCATACAAGTGTCGGGTAGATTGCCACAGTAGATTTGCTGTGGTAAACAAGGAAATACTTTATTTCTATTGTACGGAACGCCTGTCAAATAGATAAATCGCCCTTAGTCTGTTCAAAATGGACTAAGTTGTTGCGATGAAAATACCAACTAGAGGGCGAACATTAAAGACTTTTGTTGCAAGCAGGACACCGACATCATCTTTTAGAGAGCGGAAATGAGGTCACCAATAATGGTTGCAATTCAGATCAGCTGTGCGGGTGAATTTAGTGTATATTGATGGTTTAACGAGACATCAGTTGCCGATTATAAGGCTGCTGCCTTTTGAGGCAGAATTTCTAGGCAGGACGTCAAAATTGGCATGTCCCAATCCTCTGTCAAGGCGTCAGTGTAATGCGGTAGGCGAAGTCAGGCGCAGGACACAGAGCTAATCAGAAGGCGTACTTTACTCGAAGGTAAAAGAAAGAACAACAACCTCCACGCAGGGAGGGAACAAACCCGCACACTAACGACAGCCGAAACATGAACAAACACACACAACACACAGTGTGAGACAGAGGGTTAAATAGGGAAGACATCACTACATAATGGGAAACAGGTGTGACCAATAAAGACAGAACAAGTCGAACATAGATACATGGATCGGTAGCGGCTAGTACTCCGGTGACAACGAACGCCGAAGCCTGCCCGAGCAAGGAGGAGGGTCAGCCTCGGCTGAATCCGTGACATCCCATGTATCCTTCGCCGGGTAGGCTATCCCATAACACCTTGCGGCGCAGTGAAAATTTAACACAAAAATCTGAATGAATGGCAGACAGAAGTCACCGCTTGGGATAACATTTTCCAGAAGAATAAGGAACAACTTCAAAATGTAAGTATAACGTTTGTTTATTAACCAGATTATGTTAAAATTTTCAACAAATTACTTTCAGATGAATTTTGAATTCAAATATTGAGTAACTGGTGTTTATCAGCCCATTGCCAAGCTAGCTAACACGTCGGATTCGATAGCTAGCTAGCAGGCGATTTCATCCTGCTTATCGGCTGTTTAGAGATGAACAACTAAACTAACTAATCATAGATTCAGCAATGTGTCAATTGTGAAGACCCATGCAGTTTTAAAATCATGAAATGATGAACTTGCTAGCCAGCTGAAGCAAATAGTTTTTTTCCCCATTTGTTTTCAGGGACTAAAGTGGGGACCTGATCGCGTTTCACATCATTGCATTGGCTTGGCAGGAGAAAACAGTCCTGCCGATTCGTTTGGAGGTAAGACATTTTAACAACATCTGATGAAAAATTTAGGAAATGCAGCCAGTTGTGTCCTGTTCAATCTAGGCTTACTAGCCAGCCAAGTTATTTGTGCATTCTGTTTTGCTAACTAGCTGCATGCAGTGTCTGTTTACCTATCTAATGTTAGCTAACTTTCTCTTGCCACTTTCCCTTCCCCTATTGTGTTGCACTATTGGGGTTGGTGTTACTAATTAAAATTAGAGGCTAAGTTATTCTACTGTTACTGTAAACAACTTGACCAAGCCTGAGAAAATATGCAAAACTGTTAACAAAACGATTGCACATTAATAAGTAATTCCTAAGTGAGGGACATTGTTGTGGCTTCAGCAACTTTTTATTTTTAATTTTTTTATTTCACCTTTATTTAACCAGGTAAACAGAACATATATATACACTGTGTGTGAATGTAGTAAGTTATGGAGGTAAGGCAATAAATAAATGGGGCATAGTGCAAAAATAGTTACAATTTCGTAATTAACACTGGAATGATAGATGTGCAAAAGATGATGTGCAAATAGAGAAACTGGGGTGCAAATTAGCAAAATAAACAACAACTTGAACCAGCACTGAAATTTGAGCAATGAGGTTAATTTCTCCCCCCTTGTGTCTGCTTGTTCCAGGTTGAAGGACATCTCACGCTGACACCCTGCAGATGAACCTCTCAGCCACCAGGAAAATCACCATATCCCAGGATATTATTCAGGACATTGTAACTTATGAAGCTCATTCTAAAATACAGATGTGATTTCTGTCCCAAGGGATTGCACTGTGTGCAAGTCTTCAATTTAGACCACAATTAGTTGAATTAGGTGTTAGTGAAGGGCTGGAACAAAAACCTGTAAACTCCTGTCCTGTCTATAAAAACAAAAATGTGTCTTTCATGATTAAATTTGCGCTCAGGTACTAAACAAGCTTATGACTGTTGGAGGTTAATCTCCTTGAAATGTCCCTCACTTGGGAATTACTTATTTTGTACAATGGACTGTGTTTAAGGACTCATGCTCAGATATATATATATATATATATATATATTTTGTATGTATTCAAAATTACAAATGTTGATGTCTCCACATGTTTCTGGTTTTGAGGCTTGGGCATCTGGTGACTGCAGTTTATCTGTCTAATCCTATGCAAGGAGAGAGAAAGGCATCAATATTACAATGCTGTATTAATTTAATTGAATAGATACTCAGTTTATTAGGTACACCTAGCAATGGGTCGGACCCCCCTTTGCCTCCAGAACAGCCTGATTCTTCAGTATCAAGGGACCTAACGTGTACCAGGAAAACATTCACCACACCATTACACCTCTGCCACCAGCCTGTGCCGTTGACACCAGGCAGGATGGGGCCATGGACTCCTGTGGACTCCTGCTGCTTACGCCAAATCTTCAGTTTTTTGTTTGTCGCACCATTCTCGGTAAACCCTAGAAACTGTCGTGCGTGAAAAGCCCCTGAGGCCGGCCATTGCTACTGGAACCCACGCGCCTGGCACCGACGATCACACCACGCTCAAAGTCGCTTAGGTCACTCGTTTTGCCCATGTTAAGTTAAATCAAAACAGTAATTGAATGCCTGTCTGCCCCCTTTATATACCAAGCCAAGGCCACGTGGCGAACCATTTTCGTGAACGGGATGGTGTACCTAATACACTGGCCACTAAGTGTATATTCCTGTTTGATTTGCATTTATATAATTATATTGGACATGTTAACCTTTATCACATGCCAGTATTTGTTTTGCATCCAATGCATTTAGCTTACATTAGGATGAAGTTACATTAGGATGAAGTATCCTAGGCCTTCTAATCTAGTTAGATTGCTTCATATCAACTTTCAATATTAGTTATCAACAAATATAAAACCATGTTATCGTAAACATCAGTGCCATTTAATAATATGCACGGGTGTGATAGTTGTGTGAATTAATCAAAATGCAAGCCTACTCATTAGAAAAAACTGCAGCTCTAATGCAATATTAGTTTCACAGTGAAACACCACTATTCTGGCTATTAATCATTCTTAAACAATCAGATAAATAGCCTATTTCGCTATCACAATGAATCATAGCCAGTATGATATCATGCATGCAAGCCTGTCATGTCCACAACGATGGAGCAGCAGACCAAGCAATATGCGAGAGGAGGACCCTATACCGTAGGATAATTAATCTGGTCGGTGTCAACTTAATTCATTAACAGGTACTGAGGAGATCGATTCTGTTACTTGTTTACTTGTTATTCGTGTCAGATATTTCCATTTTGGGATAGTTGTTCACTGAATTGCTAGCACTAGTTGCTCACGCTGCTACAGTGGCTACTTTGTGGCGCTCTGTGGAATGTGAATGCATTATAATGTGATGCTGCCTTCGAATCCCATCCCTAATGGAACTAACCTACTGGAAAAATGCTACCTACTGGTGCCTTTGGAGGCAAGCAGGCAGCTAGCTGCCTTTTGGATTGGTTAAATAATAACAGTGTGTGTTTGAGTTTGGTGTAGTTTTCCACTAATCAGTTTGGACACCTGTATACCTGTCTCCTCTCCAGACGTAACAACGTCTGGCTGATTGTGTCAAAGCAAAAATATTTATGTTTCTCACAGACAGGCTGAACTTCTCATACCTACACTACATCAACAACAACACTTACCAACCTAACAACCAAAGTGTTGTTTGCAATTTATCTCCAGACTTTAGTCAATGGAGTTTTGAATTGTATGTGTCTGGTTTTGTAAGACCATTAACTGGCTAACTGGCCCAGATTCCAGCTCTCACACCTAATTTCTGTAACTTTGCTCAAAGTTTAACCAAAAGCCTGGGACTGTTGTACCTGACACCAGTCAAGTGTTTACATCTCTATCAGGCTCTTAGCTCATGAGCTAACACCCAGCTAACAACACCAATGCGCTAACACACCAACACAACACTATTGTCCATTGTAGGCTGCAGGCAGAGGGGTGATTGACCTAGACGTGGCACACTGGTGTGACTAAAAGGAGGGGCTAGCTAGCCTCCTACACTCTTAGAAAAGAAGGTGCTATGTAGAACCTTAAATGGTTATTTGGCTGTCCCAATAGGAGAACCCAGGGCTGGTTCCAGGCATAAGCAACATAAGCTGTCGCTTAAGGCCCCCGACCGCTAGGGGGGCCCTGACCCAAAATATTATATTTAAATAAGGGGGGGGGGGACTCAATCGGGATCTCAACTTACTATTGAGAGCAAGAATAGTAGAATACACCAGGTGCAATTTAAAAATGTGGTTGTGCATCAGCAGTTTTTCTCTTGTTATATCAGTCACTGACAGTCAATCAATTAGTCATGTCAGCTAACAATTCTTAGATTGGTAGTTAGGCCCTATTCCCACTACGAGAGATGGAGAGTCTGAGGAGCAGTGTAGCGAAAGAGATATCTACTTTTCAATTCACATTACATCATTGCCTTACCTTTCGTTGTGGCTGGCAATGCAACATTCTTGGTCTGCAGCTCAAATTGACCGTAAATATCACAGTAGCCACTAGCCAGTAAGCACAAACTATTTAACAATCTGAGCAACTTTTCTTCTAAAACATATTGCACTATTGAATAATGCAAACAAACCATATTACACTCTTGAATATTTTAATGATTCACAAGCATGTGCAGACAGTTAAAGGGTTTATTTTCTTGTCCGTACACATTTAAATTAGCTGACAATACACAGCCAAAACTAGCTAACAACATGCTTCATGATCAAGTAACAATAATGAACGTTTACCCCTCCCATACAAATATAAAAGCACAGTAACGTTATCATACAGTGTTCTTCATGTTATAATATAGGCTACACGGCTAGGTAATGTTAGCTAGCAAGCTAGCCCAATAATGGACTAAAGGAGCCTAACATTATTCCTTATAGTCCAATGACCTTACATGTTCTGTTTAAAGGCAAATTGGTTCTGGAAGCCAAAACAGCCAAATACTCCATCTAAACGTGAATCGATTCTCAATTGCAGTACGGTTCTAGAAACATTTTTTATTTATCTAGGCAAGTCAGTTAAGAACACATTCTTATTTACAATGACGGCCTACACCGGCCAAACACGGACGACGCTGGGCCAATTGTGCACCGCCCTATGGAACTCCCAATCACGGCCGGTTGTGATACAGCCTGGAATCGAACCAGGGGGTCTGTAGTGACGCCTCAAGCACTGAGATGCAGTGCCTTAGACCGCTGCGCCACTCAGGAGCCCATAAACATAACTCCCTCTACTTTCATATCACATCAAAATAATTGTACTAATGCAAAATACACACTTACTGTACACTGTTTCAACCTGTTTTAACACAGTTGCAGCCAACAGTATTTTTCAGTGGCAACACGTTTGTGGCTTCCGTCTTCTGTTTACACACAGGTGTTAGGAGACGCAGATAGCTTATTAGCACAGGGGGACAGCCGAAGAACCCTTTTCAAACCCTTTTTTCTAAGAGTGTATTCCTGGAACTATGTGGTAACTAAAATAATTAGCTCACTGCTGCTCTTAAGCACACCAATCCACACATTCCTTCCATTGGCTTGTGGGAAAACAGCTTAACAAACACAGCAGAATGTGATAAGCTTTGCCAGTTTTTTCCTGTCCTGACTAATGACCTGTGATGCAGGTGAATTGAGTGTAGGGCGCCCAGATATTGCTGTGGTGGGTAACCCCCATTCCAGGACTGGAAGGAGGAAGGATGGATGCATTTTTTATGTAACAAAGTCTAACTTTATTGCTTTCCTTGCTGTTGCGACTTGGTGGAAGCCAGGTGACTTGAGTGTGTATGATCTGGCAGATGAACTGTGTATGTAATTTGTTTGGTGTGACATTAGCCTACTCCCTTTCCGCCTAGAGTTATTATCTTGGATCTTGGCTGGCTCCAGTCGGCCACGTTTCTTTCCATGGAATTACTAATTATCAACAGATTAAGACCACTGTAAGTTTCCTAATGCGCTTATCAAAGAAAAAAGAGTTGATCCCAGGGGCTGAGGCAGAATGCCATACACATGACCACATCTCCGTCTTCTTTCTTATTTTGGTCTGCTGAAAATGGTTGTCTTTGTTTAGGGGTTGAGGGTAATCCGGGCTAAGATCACTCTCTCTCAATTCAATTCAATTCAATTTCAATTTAAGGGCTTTATTGGCATGGGAAACGTAAGTTAACATTGCCAAAGCAAGTGAAGTAGATAGTAAACAAAAGTGAAATAAACAATAAATATTAACAGTAAACATTACACTCAGACGTTCCAAAAGAATAAAGACATTTCAAATGTCATATTATGTATATATACAGTGTTGTAACAATGTGCAAATAGTTAAAGTACAAATGGGAAAATAAATAAACATAAATATGGGTTGTATTTACAATGGTGTTTGTTCTTCACTGGTTGCCCTTTTCTTGTGGCAACAGGTCACAAATCTTGCAGCTGTGATGGCACACTGTGGTTTTTCACCCAGTAGATAAGGGAGTTTATCAAAATTGGGTTTGTTTTCGAATTCTTTGTGGATCGCTGTAATCTGAGGGAAATATGTGTCTCTAATATGGTCATACATTTGGCAGGAGGTTAGGAAGTGCAGCTCAGTTTCCACCTCATTTTGTGGGCAGTGTGCACATAGCCTGTCTTCTCTTGAGAGCCAGGTCTGCCTACGGCAGCCTTTCTCAATAGCAAGGCAATGCTCACTGAGTCTGTACATAGTCAAAGCTTTCTCTTCTCTCTCTCTCTCTCTCTCTCTCTCTCTCTCTCTCTCTCTCTCTCTCTCTCTCTCTCTCTCTCTCTCTCTCTCTCTCTCTCTCTCTCTTTCTTCTCTCACCTTTCTCCTTTCTACAAACAGTTGTTTTTGTAACTCTCTGTGATCCTTGTGTTTGAGCCTATTTGACTATTGGAATAATCATATTTAGTGGATGACTGCAGTCAGGCATTACTGCATTAGCTACCACATAGTGTCAAGAGCCAGCTTACTGTAGGCTACTCCCTGGCATACATTATTTGCATGGTTTAATGTAAATGTTCATAATAATCATCATATCTGCTATTCCTGCTCTCTTTCTCTCTAAGCCTAAAAGAGGGATGAGTGCTAGGCTAAGAAAAAGTTAGCGGGGGGTAGCTAGCTATCGTAATTTACTGTCACACACTAAACCCTTAGAGATAGCTACACACTGCCTTATCTCACCACCAGCTCATAGCCTTCAACATCAGGGAAAACACACATACACCAACAGAAAAACAACCAAGGCTAAAGCCTACGTGACATTGTGGCCTATTCTGGCAGAGCCCTTGCTGCCGTCATCACACGCCATCAGTGGTGTGTGTGTTTCTGTGTGAGCGTATGGTTTCTTTATTGTTTGGGTGGCTGGTGTGTGTAGTGTAGTAGTGTGACCTGCCCTGTCTCTTATCCCCCTGCCCTGCACACCCTTATCCACCATGCGGCCGACTCCACTTATCTCATCTCTCTCTATACACACACACACACACACACACACACACACACTCGGACACATACTCACAGGCACATACACATGCACATACTGTCATGCTGACACTGAGGCAGAGTCGCTGTGACCGAGTCAGGGACACTTCAGTAGTGTTAGGGCTAGTCCCATATGTGTGTTCAGAGGGAACAGAAGCTCATGTTGAAGCTGGGACTTAGAGGCTAATGTGGTCCGGCTCTGAACCAACTCCTCCCTTTCAACTTCTTTCTCTAGCTCGCTCTCTTTCTCTCTCTCTCTCTGCTCTCCCTGCTCTGTCCTTCAACAAACATTTTCTCCTCTCTCCTTATAAAGCATTCTCTCTGTTATTGGCAGTCAGGAGCACTCTCATGTGACTAGTCACTAGAGCTTGATGTAGTGTTGTTGCCTGAGGAGTGAGAGAGTGTGTGTGTGTGTGTGTGTGTGTGTGAGAGAGAGATATTAAAAAGCTACTCAGCATCTCACCCTGTTTGAGTACTTAGAAAAAGCCTCCTTCCATCTTGCCTTTCCGAGTATCCTAATCACAGATCTAATATTTTTTATATATTTGTTTCTTTTTACAGTATATGATATTGGTTCAATTGCATAGCTCACCCTGTTGGACTATGCAAAGTTGTGTAACATAGCCTGTAAAGAGCGTTTACAGTAAGACCATTATTTGACCTATTGTATTTTTTACGACATTGCCGGGTAATCAATGGAAGGATCATTGGAAGAAAGGAAGGAGAGATGGTTTCAAACACGGCCCCTGAAGACTCAGCCTTCCTCTTTCAACCCCCCTACCTGACAGACACAGATACAGAAACAGACACCACACGCCTCTGAGCAGAGTGGTCATTAGGCTCATAGCCTCTGACACACACTGTCCCTCTGTTGGACAGCCACTTTATGCTTGAGACTATGCATAAGAAAGACGTGTGTGTGTGTGTGTGTGTATGTGTGTGTACAGAGAAAGAGAAAGATGAGATAAGTGGAGTCGGCCGCAGCATGGAGGGGTCAGAGCTCCTTTGTCAAGAGAACTGAACCCTGATTGTTCTGACAGAACCCAGTGCCAACGTCACAGCGCGCGCCCACCGAACACATTTTCATGTACACGTATACACACTCAATTGTACATATTCTCTGCTTTTGAAGCATCATGATTCTGGTTACTTTTCCTCGATTCAATCCGTGGTCAGTCAGACATAGTTGTGTGCTGTGGTCTTGGTCTCATGGTCACCTGTGTTATAGTTATGTTATGGTTGTGTTGTGGTCATGGTCTCATGGTCACCTGTGTTATAGTTATGTTATGGTTGTGTTGTGGTCATGGTCTCATGGTCACCTGTGTTATAGTTATGTTATGGTTGTGTTGTGGTCATGGTGTCATGGTCACCTGTGTTATAGTTATGTTATGGTTGTGTTGTGGTCTTGGTCTCATGGTCACCTGTGTTATAGTTATGTTATGGTTGTGTTGTGGTCATGGTCTCATGGTCACCTGTGTTATAGTTATGTTATGGTTGTGTTGTGGTCATGTTCTCTTACGGTCTCCTGTGTTTCTCTCTGCAGGCTAATATTGGTCAGATGGACTCAGCCAAGGACATGTGGAAGATGATCGTTGGAAACCTCGCCCTCATCCAGGTACGGAACACTCTATAACATTCCACCACACCTGCATGGAGCACTGTGGAACACAGAAAACCATTCAACACATTCTCAAACAAAACATGTGCATGGAATGATGGAACACAGACATAAAAAATAACAAGTCCAATCACAGTGTGTCCTGGTAAGGTGACATTTTGTTACAATAACTGGACAGAGTTAGATGTACAAGTGCTCTTATGTGTAATATTTGAGTGGTTCCTGGAAGCCCCCCAACCCCAGCACTTTGGATCTCTGTCAGTCACATAACCTGCTAGAGGGGGTCACTGTGTGCTGGGTCAGCTCACCAGGGGGTTACAGTACTTCTCTCTCTCGCTCTCTCTCTCTCTCTCTTGCACACGCACACACACACACACTAAGCCTCCTCAGGTCGACGAGACGTTTGCTGCAGTGACACACACACACGTACAGTATAGTTTACCCCTTCTCTCTCTGCCCTCCTCCCAGGTCCAGGCCACGGTAGTAGGGTTCCTGGCGTCCATCGCCGCGGTGATCTTTGGCTGGATCCCCGAGGGAAACTTTAGACTGGGACATGCTATCCTGCTGTGTGCCTCCAGTGTGGCAACCGCATTCATCGCTTCTCTGATACTAGGTACCACTAGAAGAATAATTATATCAGATACAATTTAACCCCAGATACAATTTAACCCCAGATACAATTTAACAACAATTAAACTGTGATCAAATGAAAATGGACAATATATGTTACACATTTCCATAAAGCTGATTATGATTGGTGTGTTTAACATTAAGCCCCTACTTCTGTCTGCAGGGATCATTATGATTGGTGTAATCATCGCATCCAGGAAGGTGGGCATCAACCCTGACAACGTGGCCACGCCCATCGCTGCCAGTCTGGGAGACCTGATCACCCTCTCTCTGCTGGCTGGCATCAGCACAGGACTATACAAGGAGCTGGGTATGCACACACAGACACTTGAGATCACAGAATTAATAATAACACATACTACATGAGACACACTACTTGAGTCACATACACACATCTCACCAACACCCACTCTGCGTTATACTTACAGTGGGGGAAAAAATTATTTAGTCAGCCACCAATTGTGCAAGTTCTCCCACTTAAAAAGATGCGAGAGGCCTGTAATTTTCATCATAGGTACACGTCAACTATGACAGATAAATTGAGGGAAAAAAAATCCAGAAAATCACATTGTAGGATTTTTAATGAATTTATTTGCAAATTATGGTGGAAAGTAAGTATTTGGTCACCTACAAACAAGCAAGATTTCTGGCTCTCACAGACCTGTAATTTCTTCTTTAAGAGGCTCCTCTGTCCTCCACTCGTTACCTGTATTAATGGCACCTGTTTGAACTTGTTATCAGTATAAAAGACACCTGTCCACAACCTCAAACAGTCACACTCCAAACTCCACTATGGCCAAGACCAAAGAGCTGTCAAAGGACACCAGAAACAAAATTGTAGACCTGCACCAGGCTGGGAAGACTGAATCTGCAATAGGTAAGCAGCTTGGTTTGAAGAAATCAACAGTGGGAGCAATTATTAGGAAATGGAAGACATACAAGACCACTGATAATCTCCCTCGATCAGGGGCTCCACGCAAGATCTCACCCCGTGGGGTCAAAATGATCACAAGAACGGTGAGCAAAAATCCCAGAACCACACGGGGGGACCTAGTGAATGACCTGCAGAGAGCTGGGACCAAAGTAACAAAGCCTACCCTCAGTAACACACTACGCCGCCAGGGACTCAAATCCTGCAGTGCGAGACGTGTCCCCCTGCTTAAGCCAGTACATGTCCAGGCCCGTCTGAAGTTTGCTAGAGTGCATTTGGATGATCCAGAAGAGGATTGGGAGAATGTCATATGGTCAGATGAAACCAAAATAGAACTTTTTGGTAAAAACTCAACTCGTCGTGTTTGGAGGACAAAGAATGATGAGTTGCATCCAAAGAACACCATACCTACTGTGAAGCATGGGGGTGGAAACATCATGCTTTGGGGCTGTTTTTCTGCAAAGGGACCAGGACGACTGATCCGTGTAAAGGAAAGAATGAATGGGGCCATGTATCGTGAGATTTTGAGTGAAAACCTCCTTCCATCAGCAAGGGCATTGAAGATGAAACGTGGCTGGGTCTTTCAGCATGACAATGATCCCAAACACACCGCCCGGGCAACGAAGGAGTGGCTTTGTAAGAAGCATTTCAAGGTCCTGGAGTGGCCTAGCCAGTCTCCAGATCTCAACCCCATAGAAAATCTTTGGAGGGAGTTGAAAGTCCGTGTTGCCCAGCGACAGCCCCAAAACATCACTGCTCTAGAGGAGATCTGCATGGAGGAATGGGCCAAAATACCAGCAACAGTGTGTAAAAACCTTGTGAAGACTTACAGAAAACATTTGACCTGTGTCATTGCCAACAAAGGGTATATAACAAAGTATTGAGAAACTTTTGTTATTGACCAAGTACTTATTTTCCACCATAATTTGCAAATAAATTCATAAAAAATCCTACAATGTGATTTTCTGGAGAAAAAAAATCTCATTTTGTCTGTCATAGTTGACGTGTACCTATGATGAAAATTACAGGCCTCTCTCATCTTTTTAAGTGGGAGAACTTGCACAATTGGTGGCTGACTGATGGAAACACTTTAACTCAACCCTTCCTGGCTTGACATTAATAGTAGGGATCTTATTTTAACATAGGCCTACTTGAGGTTTGATTCCACCACTAACCTCATAGTGGTAGGGAATGTGTGTATGTCTGAGTGTGTGACCCCACAGCTATGCCATCTACTGTTAGTTCAGTGCTAGTGTTTTCAGTGTCAACACACCTTGTGATGCAGATTAACATGTTTTTTCACACCACACCTCATTGACCTCACCATCACATACAAACATTACACATTTCATATTTGCACATTTCCCATTCACACCCAGTCTGAGCATCTCAAACACAAACAGCATTGTGTATCATGTGTTGATAACTGTTTTTATATTGAGCTGATGAAGTGCGTGTGTGTATAGCGTAACAATGATGCTAACTCCTGTGTTTGTTCTCTTATAGAGTTTAACGACTATGCCAACCCGTTGGTGTGTGCTGTGTTTGTGGCGCTGACCCCTCTGTGGGTGCTGATAGCTCGGAGGATCCCCTCCACCAGAGAGGTGCTCTACTCAGGTTGGGAACCTGTCATCATTGCCATGGCAATCAGCAGGTGCAAAACCTATGTCTCTCACTGTTTTCACCTTTATTTTAGTAGATGCTCTTATCCAGAGCGACTTACAGGAGCAATTAGGGTTAAGTGCCTTGCTCAAGGGCACATAGACAGATTTTTCACCTAGTCGGCTCGGGGATTCGAACTAGCGACCTTTCGATTACTGGCCCAATGCTCTTAACCACTAAGCTACCTGCCGCCCATCTGTGTCACTGTTCTCCTACCTGTTTCAAGTCTGAAGTTTACAGTGAGGGAAAAATGTATTTGATCCCCTGCTGATTTTGTACGTTTGCCCACTGACAAAGACATGATCAGTCTATAATTTTAATGGTAGGTTTATTTGAACAGTGAGAGACAGAATAACAACAACAAAATCCAGAAAAACGCATGTCAAAAATGTTATAAATTGATTTGCATTTTAATGAGGGAAATAAGTATTTGACCCTTCTGCAAAACATGACTTAGTACTTGGTGGCAAAACCCTTGTTGGCAATCACAGAGGTCAGACTTTTCTTGTAGTTGGCCAACAGGTTTGCACACATCTCAGGAGGGATTTTGTTCCACTCCTCTTTGCAGATCTTCTCCAAGTCATTAAGGTTTCGAGGCTGACGTTTGGCAACTCGAACCATCAGCTCCCTCCACAGATTTTCTATGGGATTAAGGTCTGGAGACTGGCTAGGCCACTCCAGGACCTTAATGTGCTAATTCTTGAGCCACTCCATTGTTGCCTTGGCCGTGTGTTTTGGGTCATTGTCATGCTGGAATACCCATCCACGACCCATTTTCAATGCCCTGGCTGAGGTAAGGAGGTTCTCACCCAAGATTTGACGGTACATGGCCCCGTCCATCGTCCCTTTGATGCGGTGAAGTTGTCCTGTCCCCTTAGCAGAAAAACACCCCCAAAGCGTAATGTTTCCACCTCCATGTTTGACAGTGGGGATGGTGTTCTTGGGGTCATAGGCAGCATTCCTCCTCCTCCAAACACGGCGAGTTGATTTGATGCCAAAGAGCTCGATTTTGGTCTCATCTGACCACAACACTTTCACCCAGTTCTCCTCTGAATCATTCAGATGTTCATTGGCAAACTTCAGACGGCCCTGTATATGTGCTTTCTTGAGCAGGGGGACCTTGCGGGCGCTGCATGATTTCAGTCCTTCACGGCGTAGTGTGTTACCAATTGTTTTCTTGGTGACTATGGTCCCTGCTGCCTTGAGATCATTGATAAGATCCTCCCGTGTAGTTCTGGGCTGATTCCTCACTGTTCTGATGATCATTGCAACTCCACGAGGTGAGATCTTACATGGAGCCCCAGGCCGAGGGAGATTGACAGTTATTTTGTGTTTCTTCCATTTGCGAATAATCACACCAACTGTTGTCACCTTCTCACCAAGCTGCTTGGCGATGGTCTTGTAGCCCATTCCAGCCTTGTGTAGGTCTACAATCTTGTCCCTGACATCCTTGGAGAGCTCTTTGGTCTTCGCCATGGTGGAGAGTTTGGAATCTGATTGATTGATTGCTTCTGTGGACAGGTGTCTTTTATACAGGTACCAAGCTGAGATTAGGAGCACTCCCTTTAAGAGTGTGCTCCTAATCTCAGCCCGTTACCTGTATAAAAGACACCTTGGAGCTTGTCACGTAAATTTCTATCTCTAAAACTCAAACTTTGAATAATCCCCAGAGGGTGTAAGACTCCAGTTAAGTATGAATTAAACAATTCTCCAGTCTGCAAGGGATCAGCATTTTTATTCAATGTGAGCGCTCTCCCGCTCAAAACACACACAGACTTTTTAAATGCCTTCACACAAAGGAACTTTGCTCCGCCCACCTTTAGGCGGCCTGTGACTTTCCACAGTAGAGTTTTCAGCAGTTTCTAAGTCCCCTCTTACTATGGTATGTTGGCCTCCAACAGTTTCTACCCATATTCCCTGTTAGTGGTTTTATTTTCTTTTAATTCTAATACAGTTTACACATTTTTACCGTATTTGGGGTGAAATCCTTTAGTCATTATTTTAAAAATACAAATTAATCTATCAATCCACCCTATGACAAAAAATTTCACACTCAGGATAAATGTATTTACAAGCATGATTAACCTCAGAGAATAGTTATATTATCTACTTTCAATCATAGGTCTTCTTTTTGAGATTTTCCCTATGACCTTCATACGTCAGAACCAATAAAAGTTTCATCCAATTGCGGTCTTTCAGGGTCAAAGTCCTCGTTCTCCACCAAGCCTGGAGGATCGTATTTCACATTCCACTGGTCAGAGTCCGAAGTCGGTCCATATCTCATCATCTGTTGAGACACTGCATCCTCCAACGCCTTACTCACCAACCCTCGGACACAGGGAATAAGACAACAACCACATAATACAAGAATACCAATACAAGCGATGGCTGCCTCCAAGATGGTGGCTGCTATGGTTTTCCATTTGCCAAACATTTCATCAAACCACCCTATCAAATATGTATTAACTCCTGAGTTCTCAGCCCATTCTTCACTTAGAGCAGTCAATCCTGCAAGAGCTCTGCACCGCCCTTTTCTGCCAGCAACATATCTAGAGCCAACCTATTTTGACAAGTCATGAGCGAGATGGCAGATAATTTGTCTGAGATACCCCTTACTGCATCTCTAGTCTGGTTCACAAACCGTTGTTGGCTGTAATATATCTAATTAATCCAATCCACATTTTTATTGATTGCTACCCTCCAAAAGAACGTTGTAGTAAATCCTTCCCCTACTTGATTCATAGCTTTGTATTCATCCGGTAACCCCCTTGGTATCCCAATTGTATCCATTCAAATAGGGCTACTCTCCTTCTGGTCAATACTCCTCCTACGTCTGTTTAACCCTTTCCTTGGTTTCCGGTCACTAATTCTAACTGGCTGAACCAGTAGAACCGGGGCGCAGATACCTACCCACCCTTTTGGCCTTGTCTGCCTTATACGGCCTTTACTGGTACACGCCCACCACACATCGGTTACAGGGGCTGTAAGGTTCAGACTTCTCTCCTATGCTTCCAAACCTAAGTCAGTCACATTACTACTATTTCCAATTGAATTGACAATTCGTGATGTCTTTGTTTCTCTTCTGGATGTCCAGTCCCGCCCGGTCTCATATCCCCGTCCCCAAGTGTGTTTAAATACTTGAGTCCAGGAACAATCCGCCGTGGGGCCCGAACACAAATATGGTGGGGTATTATTCCATTCTGTTGCTTGTTGACATGTACACCACCCGTTCTTTGACTCCTATTTTGTAGGTTACTCGTCCCTGACGGTCGGTATGTCGGGTCGTTTCTCTTTTACTTCTTAACAATGGTAAGGGCATAGCGTAATTGGTGCGGGTGGTGGTGGATCTTGACATATCAGGACCATTGCCGAGACTATGATGCAGCTCAGGGTTACACATATTCCCAAAAACCGCCAACCCTCTCCTGCCCTTAGTCTTTCTGCTTGGTACCACCCCATACTCACACCCTAAGAACACACTACAGTGATGATAGGTCGGGGTAGGAGATCTTCGTTAACAGAGGTGATCCCCAGACCTTATTGGTACAGTTCTTCTCTCTAACTCTGCGTGTGTTCAGTGGTGCTTGTATGTGTTCTTACCTTTTTGCAGTGGGTAACGTGGACCCAGGTTGCTCTTTCTGCTATTCTAATGGAAAAGGCGGTGACTAATATAACCTGATAGGGCCCATCCCAACAGGCCTGCTTCCAGTCTTTCTTAGGGACTGGATCCACACCAGTCACCTGGTTGGATAGAGTGGGTCACCTTCTCCTTTAGTTCACCTGTGGGGCACAAAACCTTTGACATACAGGTGTGGTTAATAAACAACCTTCTCATGTGCTCTGCTAGGGTGCTCTCAATTTCTATCTCTGCCTGCTCCTGTGTGTTTTCCTTAACCCCTCTCTAATCATACCGTTCACATTAGTATTTCCTTTCTAGACTGTATATACAATTTTTTATTTTGTATTTAGTCCTCTCCTCCGTCTATTTATCTTTAATCCTACCAACTACCATCATCCCCCCTCTTGACACATGTCACTGCCCATGTGTCAATATTACCACCTACCTAAACAATCACTTAGGTAATATTGGTAAATTATCCTTATGCCAAATTCCCTCCTTCTTGACTGCTCCTATTTTCTCCCATTTGGTCACTTCCTTCATTGGTGCTCTCAACTGCCTCTCTATCAGTAATGTTTTATCAATGTTCACTTCTTCTTTCAGATGTAAGTATGTAGGTGCCTGTGGTTTGAGGCCTGCCTTCTTCGCTTCCTCATCTGCCTTTCTGTTGCCGTTTCTTATGCTATCTACACCTTTAGTATGAGCCTCACATTTACAAATAGCTAACTTCTCTGGTAGGAGTACAGCATCTAAAAGATTCAAAATTAACTGGGCATGTGTAATGGTTCTGCCAGAAGTTTTTACCATTCCTCTGTTTCTCCATTGTGCAGCAAGTACGTGTACTGTATTAAATGCATAGGCACTATCGGTGTAAATAGTAATCTTTTTCCCTTTTCCCAAATGACATGCACGAGTGAGAGCTACTATCTCAGCCTGTTGTGCAGTATAATTTATAGGTAAAGATTCAGCTTCCAAGACGTCTGTCTCTGTTACAACTGCATATCCTGTAGCATTCGTACCATCAGGGGTTTTTCTAGATGAGTTTAACGTTCGCCCCTCCTGAGTTATGGTATGTCCTAAGTAAATTACCTCGCTCTGCCAGAGTTTAAGTTTATTTTTGCTGACTTTTTTGTCCCTGTTCTGCCAGAAAGGTCAACAATTGGATTGTATCCCTCTTACATCCCTCTTGAGTGGGATTAGCTAATAGAATATAATCTACCTAAATTAACATTTGGCTTCCTTCCTGAGGTTCAAACTTTCCCAAATTCCTGGTTATAGCCTGGCTCTCCCTCCCCGCTCACTACCATGTTATCCCGTACCACATATGCCTTCATACCCCTCTCAGTCGGTGTTTCAGCTACTTTCAACTGAGTCATAGCGTCTCTTCCTAGCAGATTAACTGGACATAGGTTTGATATCAGTACAGGTATGCCTGCTCCTCCTCCTGAATTTTCATGTTTTAAAGTCACAGGAGCTGATAATCGCTCTATAAATTGATGGCCTGAGCCAGAGCGTACTAGGATTGATCAATTCACACTAGAAAGTCAAAACAGAGTTCAGAGGTCATTGAAATCCTTCAAAGAATTGCTCCATCTAATAGTATACTAAACATCACCAACATTCAAAACATTTCATAAATGTTACTTATCCCAAGTGTACATTAAGACCTAATTACATTTATTCTCATAAGAAATCATGTATACCCAAAACTCAGTCAAAAAATTAAAAAAAACTTTGTGTGCTCCTTTAAGACTGATCACCTTTGACCTGTTGAAACCCCCCTAAAATCGAAATAACAACTCTTTATAAACATCATACTAGGTGTGTTGTGTTTTATTTGAAAAACCCAATTGAAAACAACAAATAAAAATAGCCAGGCCTTACTTAATTTGGTAGCTCCCTTTTACGACCTAATAATGCCTAACTTCACTAAACTGCTCCCCTTAGCCCTGGGCAACATTCCAATGAGATAAGCAAATCCCCTTTCTGCTGGAAAATAAATTACACATTTTGTTAACATTCAATTACAATCAGTAATCCAAAGATAGTAAGTACACACAAAACATGATACAGATGTAGACAGTCCTATCTCATCAATAATCGTTTGTATCAATCTAATTCCTCATAACTACTCCATAAAAATATTATATAAAATCTCTTAAAAGATGAAAACCACTCAAGGTTCCTCGAGTATACAATGATTATGTTTACTTGATTACCCTTCAGATCATATCCTCTTTAATTCTCACAATGATTATTGAAGCCCTAAATCTGCTCCATGTGATCCCATATCAAATGATCCATTATCGTATACTTGATCAACAACATAGGAAAATCTGTTTCCCTTTCTATTGTTCCTGTTACCCCTGTAAATGTCATATTTCATTCATTAGCCAATACAATCACGTACTCCGCTTAAGTAAGACGTGATATTTTATCCCATGCATCTATTCAAAAATGGTTTGATACGTTGTCTCCTACTCTCCCCTTAACATAATGCTATAGGAGACTTCCATCAATCCTGGAAAAAAACTCCCACTCACAAAACACTAGATAATACCACGTTTCATTAAGTTCACTACACCTTCTAATATAAACCTATAACCCCTTTCTAGTAATTTAATCATCGCAACCTGTTGCATTGATGTTTTAAAATATAAACCTATTGTTTAATAACTTCATAACTTACAAAAAATGTTTACTTCTTCATCAGCCTAATAGTAAAAAAGTACCATAAACAGATTATCGTTTTTAGAATGAATGAACTGTCTGCATAACTCACTGTTGTTTAAACAAACGATATAATGTAATAATAATAATTACCAATTATCAAATAACGTTTCATATTCAACTATCTAGACATGTTCTTCATATCATCCCAATGCTTCCTACATATGTCAATATAGCCCAACTATCACTACTTCCTTTCACCCTCTTATGAAATCGTGTCATTAGTAAATTGTCTCCACAAAGCACTACTACCTAATAACATATTTTCATTCACCTAAATATAAATAATTATTTTAATACCAGTCTTATTAAACAATCCAATTCAACATCAATTCAACATGTCTCATCACCCAATTAACTTACTTACTTTGTAAACCCTCTACAATATCTATTATTCTCTATCGCTAACTTTCCATATAGCAGTACTTTAACGGATGACAAATTATTGTAAAGTTATAGTCAAAACTAACAAAACATCTATTCACCGATATGCAACTTTAATTACTATGTTATACTATTCGCTATGTGCTGGTAAGACAATTCCTTTCACGTAATGTTATCAATTCATCTAGTAATCTAGGTCAATAGCATCAATGCAAAATATTTGCTTTCTGTCCCTACCTGGGTTCAAACCAGGGACCCTCTACCCATATCAACAACATTTACCATGTCGCTCCACAAAATCCGCTATCATTGCAAAACAAGTTAAACAACTACTTCCATGTCGCATAGCAAGTTACGTCACCACCCTAAACGTCACTAGTTCGCACAACTAACTAGCTAGCCCTTTCACCCCAAACATCCAACCCCCTATGACTTCCTTTTCCACAGCAACCATTGATCCTCGTCAGCAAGCCCCAATGGTTAACACCCGCAGACAAAAAACATGGAGCTTCTTCCATTTATTCCTAGTAGACAAAATAAAACACACTCTCAAACAGCATTCTGCATTTACCTCTTCATTGAGTTTAAATTAAACCTATTGTTAATAACTTCATAACTGTACAAAAATGTTTTACTTCTTCATCAGCCATATTAGTAAACAAGTACCATAACGATTATCGTTTTAGAATGAAGTAACCACTTGCATTAACTCACTGTTGTTAAAAACGTATAATGTATATAATACATAATTCCAATTATCAAATAACGTTTCATATTCAACATATAGACTGTTCTTCCATATACATCCCAATGCTCCATAATATGTCATATAGCCCTATCATTCACCACTTCCTTTCACCCTCTTATGAAATCGTGTCATTAGTAAATTGTCTCCACAAAGCACTACTACCTAATAACATATTTTCATTCACCTAAATATAAATAATTATTTTAATACCAGTCTTATTAAACAATCCAATTCAACATCAATTCAACATGTCTCATCACCCAATTAACTTACTTACTTTGTAAACCCTCTACAATATCTATTATTCTCTATCGCTAACTTTCCATATAGCAGTACTTTAACGGATGACAAATTATTGTAAAGTTATAGTCAAAACTAACAAAACATCTATTCACCGATATGCAACTTTAATTACTATGTTATACTATTCGCTATGTGCTGGTAAGACAATTCCTTTCACGTAATGTTATCAATTCATCTAGTAATCTAGGTCAATAGCATCAATGCAAAATATTTGCTTTCTGTCCCTACCTGGGTTCAAACCAGGGACCCTCTACCCATATCAACAACATTTACCATGTCGCTCCACAAAATCCGCTATCATTGCAAAACAAGTTAAACAACTACTTCCATGTCGCATAGCAAGTTACGTCACCACCCTAAACGTCACTAGTTCGCACAACTAACTAGCTAGCCCTTTCACCCCAAACATCCAACCCCCTATGACTTCCTTTTCCACAGCAACCATTGATCCTCGTCAGCAAGCCCCAATGGTTAACACCCGCAGACAAAAAACATGGAGCTTCTTCCATTTATTCCTAGTAGACAAAATAAAACACACTCTCAAACAGCATTCTGCATTTACCTCTATCATAGGGTTTAAAAACTAACGTAACAACATTAACCATCCTAAATTGCTGTAGTAACGTCATGTTTGGTTCAGTTTATCACCAATCCTCCATTATTAGAATCAGATCTAGGTAATATCCTTTCTAAGTAGGCTAGAAGTAACACCAAACACTTGCTGTACCTCGCTCTGAAATGATAGATAGAAATAATGCTTAATCAATTTCTATCATATGATCTATGTACTGTCTCCCAATCGGCAGTGTATCAAATACTTGTTCTCCCCACTGTATCTCACACAATGATAATTATCTCCCTTCCCGTTTATATTGTAAAGACTGTATCTTGTACAATCTCAATATTAACTAGTTTATATTACCTTGAGTCAATTGCGGACCCACTTCCTTCCTCTCTTTTGATCTACACCCCCCCCCCCCCCCCCCCCCCCATACTGCCGCATGGTTTCCTCTAGATAAGCGTCTAAAAACGGGCTGCCGGGATGTCGATCCTTTTGGATTATCAACAGATTACTACCCTCACTACAGCAGATTTGAACAGATATTTTTTTCTTCCTACTGCAGTTTGAAGATATCAATCCCCCTCAAAAAACCATGAATAAAAATCATTGACCTTATTCTTGCAGCTGGGACTCAATTTTGGTTAGATATCTGTTATATCTAGCCTAGTTGTAGAAGAACGGACATCTGCACAGTTTCACATTGAACATCACTCTGTCGTTTAATGACATGTGCCACGCATTCTGACAACCCATTCATCCGTAACGCAGCACGTCGTACCATACATAACAATATCGTCACCGTTTCTGTCGTTCATCAGTTTCCCACCGGCCTGTATTGAACCTCAATATCGGAGGCCAGGACTTAGTTTATACGGATGTTCATCCGCCCGTGCACGGTTTTCGGTGTCCCTGGAACGACAAAAAACTGATATTCATATCCGGCTCGAAGTACCAATTGTCACGAGAATTTCTATCTCTAATACTCAAACATTGAATAATCCCCAGAGGGTGTAAGACTCCAGTTAAGTATGAATTAAACAATTCTCTAGTCTGCAAGGGATCAGCATTTTTATTCAATGAGAGCGCTCTCCCGCTCAAAACACACACAGACTTTTTATATGCCTTCACACAAAGGAACTTTGCTCCGCCCACCTTTAGGCGGCCTGTGACTTTCCACAGTAGAGTTTTCAGCAGTTTCTAAGTCCCCTCTTACTATGGTATGTTGGCCTCCAACAGTTTCTACCCATATTCCCTGTTAGTGGTTTTATTTTCTTATAATTCTAATACAGTTTACACATTTTTACCGTATTTGGGGTGAAATCCTTTAGTCATTATTTAACAAATACAAATTCATCTATCAGAGCCAGAAATCTTTCTGATTGAGAGGGGGTCAAATACTTATTTTCCTCATTAAAATGCAAATCAATTTATAACATTTTTGACATGCGTTTTTCTGGATTGTTTTGTTGTTATTCTGTCTCTCACTGTTCAAATAAACCTACCATTAAAATTATAGACTGATCATTTCTTTGTCAGTGGGCAAACGTACAAAATCATTAGGGGATCAAATACTTTTTTCCCTCACTGTACATACACCTTAGCCAAATATATTTAAACTCAGTTTTTCACAATTCTTGACATTTAATCCTAGTAAAAGTTCCCTGTCTTAGGTCAGTTAGGATCACCACTTTATTTTAAGAATGTGAAATGTCAGAATAATAGTAGCGAGAATGATTTATTTCAGCTTTTATTTATTTCATCACATTCCCAATGGGTCAGAAGTTTACATACACTCAATTAGTGTTTGGTAGCATTGCCTTTAAATTGTTTAACTTGGGTCAAACGTTTCGGGTAGCCTTCCACAAGCTTCCCACAATAGATTGGGTGAATTTTGGCCAATTCCTCCTGACAGAGCTGGTGTAACTGAGTCAGATTTGTAGGCCTCCTTGCTCGCACACGCTTTTTCAGTTCTGCCCACAAATGTTCTATAGGATTGAGGTCAGGGCTTTGTGATGGCCACTCCAATACCTTGACTTTGTTGTCCTTAAGCCATTTTTCCACAACTTTGGAGGTATGCTTGGGGTCATTGTCCATTTGGGAGACCGATTTGCGACCAAGCTTTAATTTCCTGACTGATGTCTTGAGATGTTACTTCAATATATCCACATAATTTTCCTTCCTCATGATGCCATCTATTTTGTGAAGTGCACCAGTCCCTCCTGCAGCAAAGCACCCCCACAGCATGATGCTGCCACCCCCGTTCTTCAGCTTGCAAGCAACCCCCTTTTTCCTCCAAACATAACGATGGTCATTATGGCCAAACAGTTCTATTTTTGTTTCATTAGACCAGAGGACATTTCTCCAAAAAGTACGATCTTTGTCCCCATGTGCAGTTGCAAACCGTAGTCTGGCTTTTTTATGACGGTTTTGGAGCAGTGGCTTCTTCCTTGCTGAGCGGCCTTTCAGGTTATGTCGATATAGGACTCGTTTTACTGTGGATATAGATACTTTTGTACCTGTTTCCTCCAGCATCTTCACAAGGTCCTTTGCTGTTGTTCTGGGATTGATTTGCACTTTTCGCACCAAAGTACGTTCATCTCTAGGAGACAGAGCGCGTCTCCTTCCTGAGCGGTATGACGGCTGCGTGGTCCCATGATGTTTATACTTGCGTACTATTGTTTGTACAGATGAACGTGGTACCTTCAGGCGTTTGGAAATTGCTCCCAAGGATGAACCAGACTTGTGGAGGTCTACCATTTTTTTTCTGAGGTCTTGGCTGATTTCTTTTGATTTTCCCATGATGTCAAGCAAAGAGGCACTGAGTTTGAAGGTAGGACTTGTAATACATCTACAGGTACACCTCCAAATGACTCAAATTATGTAAATTAGCCTATCAGAAGCCTCTAAAGCCATGACATATTTTTTTTGAATTTTCCAAGCTGTTTAAAGGCACAGTCAACTTAGTGTATGTAAACTTCTGGCCCACTGGAATTGTGATACAGTGAATTATAAGTGAAATAATCTGTCTGTAAACAATTGTTGGAAAAATTACTTGTGTCATGCACAAAGTATATGTCCTAACCGACTTGCCAAATCTATAGTTTGTTAACAAGACATTTTTGGAGTGTTTGAAAAACGAGTACCTCTCATCTCTCACCTGTGTCTGTCCTGTGTCTCACCTCCCCTCCTCTGTTCTCTCCCTCAGTGTTGGGGGTCTGATCCTAGATAAGACCGTGTCAAACCCCAACTTCGCTGGCATGGCTGTCTTCACTCCTGTTATCAACGGTAAGACTCTCTCCTGGCACTGAATACTCTGCACACAAGCACTCATACACAAGCACTCATACACAAGCACTCATACACAACCACTCATACACAAGCACTCATACACAACCACTGATACACTATGTCTCATATTTGTGCTCTATTGTGTGTATGCCAGGTGTTGGAGGTAACCTGGTAGCGGTGCAGGCCAGTAGAATCTCCACCTATCTGCACATGAACGGTATCCCTATGGGAGACCCTGACCCCAACCCCAGGAAATGCCCCACCCCCTGCACCTCCTTCTTTTGCTCCAGTGAGTATTGATTAGTTTTATAGAAAGGTTCAATATTGACTGATGCAGGATTGTTATCAAAATGCCTGTTGGTTGAGGGAAGACTCGTTAAGCTAATGCTCCCTTCTTGTTAATTTATTTATCTCTCTCTCTCTCTTTCCCAGATGTGAACTCTCGTTCGGCACGGGTGCTCTTCCTCCTGGTTGCTCCAGGTCACCTGGTCTTCCTCTACACCATCAACTCCATGCAGGGAGGACACACCACGCTAACATCCATCTTCATAGCCTTCTACATGGCTGCTGCACTACTGCAGGTACACACACACACACACACACACACACACTCACACCCTCACACACCCTCACGACTCTTCCTCTCTGTCTCTAGGTGTTGATCCTGTTGTACCTGGCTGACTGGATGGTCCACTGGATGTGGAGTAGGGGGATGAACCCTGATAACTTCTCTATTCCTTACTTGACGGCCCTGGGAGATCTGCTGGGGACCGGCTTCCTGGCCCTCTGCTTCCATGTCCTATGGCTCATTGGAGACAGAGACACCGATGTGGGAGACTGAACACACACACCTGGACAGCATATATACACAGCATCAATACCAGATCACCGGAAACAACCTGAACAACTGAACTGTACAGTATCTCCCTCTGGACATCAGAACCACAGAACAACTGAATGACTTTCAGACCCAGACCTCAACCCTGACCCATTGACCCCCAATCTTCCCCCAAACCCCTCTCCCTGGGTCGCAGACTATGCCATTTTTTCTTTATTTGACTAAATAAGAGTTCTACTACTATCGTTTTTATTGTTATTATGATGACTATGATTATTATTGGTAATAGTGAATTTGATATGAATCTATATCTGTTTTACCGTTGGGTGGATGAAACCTCATTATTTTCAATGGGGACATTCTCCCTTGGGCCAGTCACATTGGCAGCATTTGTAAAGATGAGATCAATCTTAGACTTGAAATGAAGACAGACAGCAAAAAAAACTCACACAAGCCTAGAATGCTTAATCACCAAGTGCTATACGTATAAAGAGATTAATCCATTTTTAAAGGACCCTCTCAATTTGCCTTGCTTTGAGAGTAGTGATTCAGTGGGGGCTGCTCCACAGGGGCCCGGACCAGAATGTAGAGACCTGAATCCGCTTAGGTAACAACCTCCCAACCCCGTCAGAGGATGTCTGAACACTAACCTGAACAGAAACAGGAAGTGTTAACAGCTCTGGGTAGAAGTTGCCCTTAACATCTATAATCAGCTTACCCTCCCAAATCCTAACCTTAACCATTGGGGAGGGATGAAAACATAACTAACCCTGTATCAGTGGTAAGAGGCAACTTCGACCTACTCCGTGGACATAGGTCATCAAGGAGGTGAAAGTTATCCACTTGATCACTCTGTTGCCTAATGCAGACTGCAGTGAGAAGACCTGTGTTCTGATTAGAAGGCTTTAATGGGCTTAATTAGTTAGTGAGGAAAGACAGGATGTTGAGGGAGGAATTGTCAAACCAATATTGCCTGTTTAGGAATATCATCTCTCTTTTTCTGTCTCTCGCTCTCTCGATCTTTCTCGAATGGTACAAACAACATCAGCTTTCTTGAGTTGAAGCAACTCAAGGCCTGTCCATGCTGACTACCACACTTCCTTAATGTCTGTTGTGCATTGTACACACACCATGCAGCTGACCTATAATATCTGCCACATAGACGCCATGCTTCAAAATGGCCTCCTATCCTACCCTCATTTACATACTGTCAGTATAAACACTGTAATTCTCATAAGAAGCAGATCCCAGCTTGATGGTGAAGTGCATGTGTTATCATCTGATGCTTTGTTATCTGGTGTTCGATTTAAATGTTGTTTTAAGGGGCCAGCAGAGTGCATGTGCAGGGCACATAACATGAATATGCAAAACTTATCTTTAAAAGATCATGTTTTCCTTCTTAGGTTTGTGACACATTTTACAAAGTGGAAGTTGTGTCCGTTATTAGATGTATTCTTTAACTTCATTATTTCTCCTAATCTTTCTGTGATCTTATGTGTTAGTCATAGTCATAGAGAATGATTATGTCATGTATATGATTGAGGCAGTCCCAGTGGGGAATAGTATCACTGTGTGGAAAGTACTGTAATATACACACACAGGCACCAGAGGGTGACATTGTCATATGAGTGAATATGAGACAGTGTTGATAGTGATCGAGGCTCTGTTCACTATTCCCTTCATTTAGATTCTAGAACCTGTATACAAGATTCTAATGTAAAACCTGTGTTTTCTAGATTCTAGAATTTGTATTTTTTTTATTCTAGAACCTGTGTCCTCTAGATTCTACAACCTGTATCTATGATTATAGAATCTATACCTTCTGGATTCTAGAGCCTGTATCCAAGATTCTATTCTAAAACCTGTCCTCTGGATTCTTGAAGCGGAACCCTGGATCTAGAACCTGGGTTCTCTCTGCTGTCTTACTGAACCTGTGCCAGCGTTCTGCCCCAGTACGGATAAGAGGTTGTGAATAATTCTTCAGGGGGAAGGAATGCTTTGTCTATTTATTTTTAGATGCACACAAAGCAAATTGTACATACTATATTTATTCTATAAATAAGGTGTTTATTTTTCATTTAATTTTGTCTCGGTTCTGTGTCGCTGTTTTTGTTTTTGTAATTGTTTATCTCATTTTCTTTTTTTTCTTTTTTTGTTTGTCCTTTTTTGGGGTTGTATCCGGCCAGTAGAGCTTCAGCGCTGCCGCGGTAGATTAGCGGCTAAACTAACAAACAGAACAGTGTGGTGCCTAATATCTGATGAACCTCTCACACCCAAACATAGAAGGCCTTAACCTATCAGGAGCCAAGCTCAACACATAGTAACCAATCAGGAGCCAGGCTCACCACAGAGTAGCATCTCTTTAATGAGCTTTTATTAATAACTGACATACCTTGATTTTATGTAATGTAATGAATGAATGAGCAGTCTATGAGAGAGGCTGCATGGATGCAGTGGTTGGGAATCACTAAGGCCAGAACCTTCAATTGAGAACATAATGAATAGATGGATATTGTAAACAGAAGGCTCTGACTAGAACAGACTAGTAGTCAGACAACACACAGGTATAACGGACTGATCATTTCTCTATAACCCTTTCCCTCAACCCTCACCCCCACCTCCCACAGACACACACACATATGCACACACACACTACTAGCACAAACTGTCCATACAGATATATTGATTACACACACAAACACACACGCATACACTGTATTTGGAACTGTGTGCTCCCCCTCTGTAACCCTGTAACTGTAGTGGGGTTCTCTCTCTGCAGGACTTTATAAATTGCTGGAAATAAAGGACTATATTATTTCGTACCACTCTTCTGTATTGCTGTGGTCTTCTGTGAGTCACTCTGTTTGTGTGCGACTGTATGGGGGGCTATACCTGAATTAAGAGAACCTAAGAGCTGGACGTCAAGTGTATGTGTGTGAGTCAAGTGAGGTTATGCCTTTCTGAGGATGCAGTGTAATGTATCATGGATATGGGGCAATGATTGGCCTTGCTCAGATATCATAAAAAGGTCAGAGTAGCTCTATCCCTCTCTCTTTCACTCACACACACACACACACACACAGATGTTTGGTGCTTTCAGCTGGTTCACAAACAAAGACACACATACACCCTGAGTCCTGGTTCTCACAGTCATATCAGAAATAGAACTGTCTGAGCTCATATTGAGCACTAAGTACAATGTAGCAGCTGAATCTTGTGAAGACACTTGTTGTGAGTCCCTATAATTGACCACAGTAGATATGCATTTGAATTGTGGAAAAAAACACATATAGTATTCTACTATATGCACATTTTATGAGGTTTTATTAATTCAATGTATTAATAGTCCTTCTCTACAATAACTGCAATAATTAGAATGTTACATGTTTATAAATCAGGTCTCCCGGGTCCCTCATGTCAAAAGATTTGTAATCTCAATGAGATTGGATAAATAATGAATATAGTATAAAGTACTCTACCTGATGTAGAGTAAGCAGTGTATCTAATGTACAATCAGAAGACATAGACACATGGTCATCACACAACATACACTAGTTGTGCTCCTCTACAAAGCTTTAAACTAGACTAACAAAACATGTCAAATGACACAGAAAAACAAAAACATATTACATAGCTAATCATACTTGTGTCATTAGTATAAATATGAATATATAAATGTGCATAAATAAACATGATTGTGTCATAAGTGCCATGTTAGTAACAAACACAACAGAATAGATAGACAGAGATGAATGGCTAAAGCTGCTGTGTAAATACAGCAGTACACAGACAGAGACTGTTATAGACCCAGAGCAATGGAGATGAACCTGTAGTATCTTCCTCTCATATCTGCAGTCATAGCTAGGCCTACTCCTGAGGAAGTAGTATACAAGAGGAAGTAGTATATAAGAGGAAGTGGTATATAAGAGGAAGTGGTATACAAGTGGAAGTGGTGATATAAGAGGAAATGGTATACAAGAGGAAGTGGTATACATGAGTAAGTGGTATACAAGATGAAGTGGTATACAAGAGGAAGTGGTATACAAGAGGAAGTGGTATATAAGAGGAAGTGGTATATAAGAGGAAGTGGTATAGTAGCTTAGTCAGAAGGAGGTTTAGGAGTGTGCTGTAGATGTAGACCAGTTATGTAGTGTTCATGGAGGGGAGTTGGGGAGTTTGGGGAGAAGAGAGGGTTGTGTGTTTGCTCAACAGGAGATGAGCAGGAGGTTTGGTGGTGCTTGAGGTTCTCTGGCTGGTAGACACAGCTACTCTTGCCTTTCCTCCTCCCCCGCCACCTTCCCCTCCCACTCCTCCCCCGTCTCGCAGCAGCTCATTGGACGAGAGCTGGGCACAGAAGGCATTGGCCACCTGCAGCACATGGGATGGGCCATGTCCACTCCTGCTGCAGACATCCAGAGTGTCCATCAGCATCTTCCCCAGAGACCTACGAGAGACACCCTGCCCAGAGAGGATGGAGAGAAAGGTCAGGGTGGGAAAGGCTTGGCTCATTCACAGGTCATTCCACACACTAAACCACTAGGTGGCACTCCAGAACTAGAAAGGTTGGTATAACATACAATCAGAATGTTTTGAGGACCTGTTTGTGGTTACTGTTCTTGCTTGTGTATATATGTGTACCTTGATGCGTAGCTGCAGTAGCAGTGTCAGTGTGTCTGTCAGTTTCTCCTCCAAAAGTGACAAACGTACTCTCTCTGTCTCCACCATCTGAACCTCCAACCTCAACCCCTCCACCTCCTCATGCCTCTGACAGAGAGAGAGCAAGAGAGAGAGAGAGAGAGAGAGAGAGAGAGAGAGGAGAGAGAGAGAGAGAGAGCGCAGAGGAGGGACGAAGAGCAGAGAGAGAGGGAGAGCAGAGAGAGAGAGTGGAGAGAGAGATGATGGAGGAGAGAGACGATGGACAGAAGAGAAGACGAGAGAGAGAGGAGCAAATGGACGGGAGAGAGAAGAGAGCGACGAGAGAGGACGAGCGATGAGGAGAGCGAGACCGAGATCAGAGACGAGAGAGACAGAGAATACAGAGAAGGGCGGAAGAGCGAGAGAGAGGAGAGGAGAAGAGGAGAGAGAGAGCAGCGACAGAGGAGATCGGGGAGAGTGAGAGACGAGAGAAAGCAAGGAGGAGGAGAGATAGTAGAGAGAAGAATAAAGATGAGTGGGTGAGTAGGAGCGAGTGGTGAGCCAATGCTGACACGAGCTGTGACAATAGATGGTACTTCAACTGGCCTAGGCCGCATACCAGGTTCAACATTGTCCTTAGTAGATTCTACTTTAATCAATTGAGGGCCTGACTACTCAATGTGTGTGGTAGTGTTGAGCTGTAACAAAAGCCTGCACACCCTGTAGATCTCCAGGACCAATGAAGTCAATGAAGAAATAATAATATACACACAATTTTAAAATGGATAGTGCGCCGGGTCAGACAGGCTTCCATTGGTCTGCCTGAATAGAGCTAATACAGTATTTGTATAACTGCCTCCCACTGGCGTCTAGTCCTCTATATGTTCCAGGATCAATTCCAAGTCTTACTTTTTTATTTATCTTTGGAGGGAGCTAAATATAAATGGAATTGGCCCAAAGAATAATAATAATATGCCATTTAGCAGACGCTTTTATCCAAAGCGACTTACAGTCATGTGTGCATACATTTTTACGTATGGGTGGTCCCGGGGATCGAAACCACTACCCTGGCGTTACAAGCGCCATGCTCTACCAATTGAGCTACAGAGAACCACAGAACCCTTCTCTATTTCTCTCTCACCTTCTCTAACTCGGTCTCCCTCTCCTCCTGATAGGTGTGACCTCTGCGGCCCCGCCCCCTGGGGATCGTGAGGAGGTCATTGCCATGGAGATTGTTCTGGTTGTCAAGGAGGAGGTTCTGGGAGAGTAGCAAGTGGTGGGCTGTTGTATTCTGACACCTGGAGAGGAGAGGAAGAGAGTCAGCTACTGGTGTGTGTGTGTGTGTGTGTGTGTGTGTGTGTCTGTGTGTGTCTGTGCGTGTGTGTACCGTGCACTCACCCTTTACCACAGCTGTGCAGTCTGTTGATGAGCCTCTTCACCTCCAGCAGGCAGCACTGTCCTTCCTCCCTCCCCCTCTCCTCCTTCCTCCTCTCCTCCTTCCTCCTCTCCTCCCTCTCCCTCTCTTCCTCTTCCTCGTCCGAGGCAGCTCTCCCCTCCACCGCTCGCTGGAGGCAGGTGTCGTCCATGGGCTCTCGTGGCGGTGAGGCATGGCTTCCTCTGCATGTGCACTGTGATCTGAGAGGTCAAAGTTTAGGCACAGTATGGGTCAAATATCACTATGTGTGTGCACGTTTGTGTATGTGTGTATGTGTGTGTGTGTGTTGCTGGTCTCTTATGTTTCGTGGTGAGAGTATTCCAGCTCCACACTGATAGCCAAGCTGTTAAACCACTGCAGATACCACTACCAGAGAGAGGCAGGGCCAATGACTTACCCCACTAATGACTACTTTACATTTCAACCTCAATTAATAACACATTGCTGTTTATGTGCTTAATATACTGTATCAGCAGTGTAGAGGACAGAGCCTATGCTGGGTTGTTGCTATGTTGTTGCTGTTGGTGATGTAGGCTACAGTGATGTGATATAGAGTTGAATATTAACCAAACATAATCCCATTTATTCAGCCCCCTACGTGCCAGTATAGTGGACCTCCAGGCCCAGACATGGGGATGGGGGTGTTGTATAGTCTACCTGTACTCTTGAATGTCTGTTTCCAGCTGTGTGACTCTGCTCTGGAGCTGAGGGACGTTCTGAGCCTGTTTCTGGATCAGTCTCACCTTCTGGAGCCCCTCTCTGAGAGCCTCCCTCGCCTCTTCTGTTCTCCGCCTGTCAATCAGACAATCAATCAGTCAGTCAACAAACCAATCAACCAGCCATTCCATTAATCAATCAACCAATCATCAAACAAATCAGTCAAACAAAACCAACCTGATCTCAGAGTTCTCCTGCCGTAGACGAGACTCCACCCCTTCCAGCCTGCGAGCCTCCCGATAGGCCCAGCCAAGCTCCTCCTCCAGCCGCTGGTTGAACCTGATTGCCTCCTCCAGCTGTCCATCACGTGAGGAGCGAATCAGCTGCAGCTCCCTGAGGATAGGGTCTTTGGAGCCCCGTCTCCCTGCTACCCTCTCTTCCCCCACCCCGCACCCTCGGCCCTGAGGGTTTGGATTTGGGATCACTTCTTTTGGGGGGTTAGGTGCACCCCTCTCTCGTCCCTGGGCATTTGGAATTGGTATGTTTGAGGGTGTACTTGTGTTTGAAGTCGCTACATTGGAGTGGTGCATGGTAAGCCTGGCTGGGCCCCTCTGTCGTCGTAATGCGACCTCCAGAGCCAGGCAGCGAGCATCACTGCCCTGTAGAGCAGAGCGCAGGTCCTCAACCAGCTCCCTCAGAGCCACACACTCTGCTTCTGTCTGGCCTAGAGGTGGGAGAGAGGAGGATTGTTCATATGGCCTGGTGTTAGTGTCCTCAGTTGGAGATAACACATCAGGATTCCTTCAGTGTAGCAATTGAGAGGCGGGGGGTAGCTGGAGCACAGCCGGGTTTGAACCTGTCACCATAACAGTTCAGATATTTTAGCAGAGTTCAGTTCATATGCTATAGCCAATTGCTTACCTGTCTTGTGATGTAGTTCTGATGAACCCGTTTCACAGTTGTTCGTCTTGGCCGCGGGCCTCCTCCCGGTTTGGTCTCTTGTGAGGTCGAAACTGACACATTTCCTTCGCCGGACCCGCGGCCACCGAAGCCGGATCTCGCGCTCAATGTGCTCTGTTTCCTCCGTAACGGGGAGGCGCATGACCCCCGGTCCAGTTCCATCGCGCGCTCGGACGCGGAAATAACCGCATAGACGCGAATGGAAGTCCCTAAAAGCCAGCTCGTGAGGGAGCCTCAAGCAAATACCTTGACCCTCCTCATCATCTCCCTCCTCTTCCTTCTCTCCTTCCCTTGTCTCACTTTCCTCTCCGGTAAGCCCCAGCACTGAGCAAAGCACAGTGAAGTCCTCTGCCGAGACCACGTCGTCTTGTTTAGGGTAGACCAAGTGGTGAAAGACCTCCTGGAGGTACTGGTCAATCCCCGTTGCCAGGACCACTATCTCGTTCTCCACGCCGGGGTCGGGGCAGTGGTGGTGGGCCAGAGCGCTCCGCAGCCACTCGCTCTGACGCGCAGCCCTTGGAGAAGACTGGAGAGATGGCGACGCTAATGTCCCTCTTGAGCTCTTCATGGTGGAGACGAGAAGGTGATTTGCCCACTAATTATATGATAAAATAATTTCCTACCCAACACGGCTAAAACATGTCCCGGGGCGCGAGGAGAGAACCTGTTCCTCCAAGTTGTAATACGGTGCTTTCGCAGTTCATTCACTCAGAGCGAGAGATCCCAAACTTTCCACCAAAACGCAGGTATATCTCTAATGAGATTAAAATACACCATCGAACTCACGTAGGCCTTATAATGCTATAATGTTTCGTGGTATGTTAGATCTTTAGCATCCAAGTCGTGTCTTCACATTGTGTGGAGACTCCTACCTCCTTCAACAGCAAAGGGTGTGTGCTGTGTTGTGTGCGCCAGGACTGGGGCGGTGAAATCCTTCGAGACACAATACGGCTCCACCCACGCAGAGCTAACTGTGTGTGTATGTGAGTCTGTGTGTGTGTGTGTGTGTGTGTGCAGTGGCATCATGCACCCCAAAAATCTGAGGGGGCACAAAGTAGGTGAGGATGGCTGGGGGGTGCCCCCTTCCTTAAATTTGAGATGTTTTCCTTTTTCAAACACCTGAAACAGCTTTTTCCTGCAATTAGAGCTATAATCATTATGCTTAATTCTATGTAAAAAAAATTATTATATAAATATGTATATTTTTTCTGCATATCTAAATATACCTCTGGAGTTGTCTGTATCCTCCTGACTGGTGGTTCTTATTAAATAAATGAAATGTGCTTCCCTGCATCTCTGCTAAAATCTGGGTAAAAGCTTCTTAGTAGCTAGTTATGAGGTTGGGAGATTGGGAACCTATCTGGGCTAGCTAAAGCCAACTTCATAAAATTGCGAGGAGCTAGTAGTATTACAGAGAAACAACAAAAACATTTTTAAACAGGACTAACCCGAGGGGGCATGTGCCCCTGTGCCCCACATGGGCATGACACCTCTGTGTGTGTGTGTGTGTGTGTATTGGATAACAGACCTGGATCGCATAGTGTCCTGTGTCACTAAATGTGTAACACATAGAGATGGTGTCCCTCCATTCAAAGAAAGAGAATAGATCTAATTGAGTCATGAAGGTTTTTGTTTCAGTGCTACAACCTGTGTATGAGTCACTTCTGCTCAGGGTGCGACAATCTGACAGGACACCCGATACGCAAACACATCAGAGAGACACACGCCAACACTCGCTGTCACCCAATCAACACACATATACACAAACAGACACACACACACACACACACACACACACAAACACTTTCAGCTAAACTTAACACATACTTTCAGCTAAACGTAAGACACACATTCTCCCACTTCCAGCGAATTCCAGAGAACACCAAGCACCTCTGAGCGGAAATACCTTTCCCCACCCTCATGGCTACTCATCACATACCTGACAGCTACAACAAAAACACCATACAGGATAACACACACCCATGCATGTGCATGAGTGTACACACACACTCACACAACCTACTCTTATTTCAACCTTAATGTGTTTGCTGTAACATCCCACCTATGGAATGAACCTTACCAGGAAATAATTCCCTATAGTGCTAGGGTCATAAGATAAGAGAGAGACGCACCTTAGTTTTACACACACACAAACACACACACACACCGGCTGTAACTAATGTACAAGTCTGTGAGAGGTGAGTCACCTGGCTGCGGTAAAGTCATTCATTGTTCCTTGACTCAGCGACACTTGGTTTGTTTTGTCTTTACTTCTACAAATATGCTTGTGGGGTTCCTTTTCTACAGCTCAATTTCAGTTTCAGATTCAAAGTGATTCAATGTGAAGTTAAACACGCTTTGATAATATTTTTGATATTTTCTGCTTTATAAAGAAAAGCTGAAGTTGAATATGGGTTTATTAAGAGTCTGGAGTCAGTTATACCAAATCCATCCTGTTTATCTTTCTATGGGAAGTAGCCTAGTGATTAAGCGCGTTGGGCCAGTAAACCGAAAGGTTGCTGGTTCAAATCCCTGAGCTGACTAGATAAACAATCTGTTATTGTGCCCTTGAGCAAGGTACTTAACCCTAATTGTTCCTGTAAATCAATCTGGATAAGAGTGTCTGCTGAAATATGGAGTTGTTTCTGTTTTGTGACCTCCCCCCAGTTATCAGGACATCTGTCTGTGTGAGAGTGTGATTAGAAGGAGTCAGGCGCAGGAGGGTAAATCACCGAATACAGAGTTTATTCCGTCGTACACAGTTGCGCTGGATAGCGACCACAAAATACAGGCACAGGGGAACAATCTACCCTGGCAATACAAGGTACGGGTAGCTCCAGCAAAATACAGGCACAGGGGAAATATCTACCCAGGCAATACAAGGTACGAGTAGCTCCACCGAGCTCCACTCAATTCACATAAAACAATCACCCACAAGGACGAGGGAACACTTATACACGGACTAATGAGGGGATATGAACCAGGTGTGTGTAATTGAGCAAGACAAGACAAATGAAATGATGATATATGGAGCGACAGTGGCTAGTAAGCCGGTGACGACGAACGCCGAAGCCCGAACAAGGAGGGGAGGCAGCAGTTGTGACAGTCTGTCCGCCTGGCTTGTTTACTGTTGTTGTTTCTGGCAGGCCATCTAGTGGGTGATGTCAGAGGTCTGGTCTGGGCTACTGTGGCCTACATCTACAGGATTACATCCCCTGATAATCACAGACACTCTGCTATCTGGCATCTCAAAGAGAGGAACACACACATACACAAATAGACACAGACCCTCACACACCCACCCAAGTTCAAATACACACACACCAACTCAAGCACACACTCACACAAAGACAAGATCAACGATGACCTATTTTATATGGACAACTGAAGACATGCAGTAGCTCCATATACAGTGCCTTGCAAAAGTATTCATCCCCCTTGGCATTTTTCCTATTTTGTTGCATTACAACCTGTAATTGAAATGGATTTTTATTTGCATTTCATGTAATGGACATACACAAAATAGTCAAAATTGGTGAAGTGGAATGAAAAAAATAACTTGTTTCAAAAAATTATAAAAAAGAAATAACGGAAGTGGTGCGTGCATATGTATTCACCCCCTTTGCTATGTTGTCCCTAAATAAGATCTGGCGCAACCAATTACCTTCAGAAGTCACATAATTAGTTAAATAAAGTCCACCTGTGTGCAATCTAAGTGTCACATGATCTATCACGTGATCTCAGTATATATACACCTGTTCTGAAAGGCCCCAGAGTCTGCAACACCACTAAGCAGGGGGCACCACCAAGCAAGCGGCACCATGAAGACCAAGGAGCTCTCCAAACAGGTCAGGGACAAAGTTGTGGAGAAGTACAGATCAGGGTTGGGTTATAAAAAAATATCAGAAACGTTGAACATCCCACGGAGCACCATTAAATGGAAAGAATATGGCACCACAACAAACCTGCCAAGAGAGGGCCGCCCACCAAAACTCACGGACCAGGCAAGGAGGGCATTCTTTAGAGAGGCAACAAAGAGACCAGAGATAACCCTGAAGGAGCTGCAAAGCTCCACAGCGGAGATTGGAGTATCTGTCCATAGGACCACTTTAAGCTGTACACTCCACAGAGCTGGGCTTTACGGAAGAGTGGCCAGAATAAAGCCATTGCTTAAAGAAAAAATAAGCAAACACGTTTGGTGTTCGCCAAAAACCATGTGGGAGACTCCCCAAACATATGGAAGAAGGTACTCTGGTCAGATGAGAATTCTTGAGGGAAACCTGTTTCAGTCTTCCAGAGATTTGAGACTGGGACTGAGGTTCACCTTCCAGCAGGACAATGACCCTAAGCATACTGCTAAATCAACACTCGAGTGGTTTAAGGGGAAACATTTAAATGTCTTGGAATGGCCTAGTCAAAGCCCAGACCTCAATCCAATTGAGAATCTGTGGTATGACTTAAAGATTGCTGTATACCAGCGAAACCCATCCAACTTGAAGGAGCTGGAGCAGTTTTGCCTTGAAGAATGGGCAAAAATCCCAGTGGCTAGATGTGCCAAGCTTATAGAGACATACCCCAAGAGACTTGCAGCTGTAATTGCTGCAAAAGGTGGCTCTACAAAGTATTGACTTTGGGGGGGTGAATGGTTATGCACGCTCAAGTTTTCTGTTTTTTTTATTCTTTCTTGTTTGTTTCACAATAAAAAATATTTTGCATCTTCAAAGTGGTAGGCATGTTGTGTACATCAAATGATACAACCCCCCCAAAAATCCCTTTTAATTCCGGGTTGTAAGGCAACAAAATAGGAAAAATGCCAAGGGGAGTGAAAAATACTTTCGCAAGCCGCTGTACCTTTCTCTGTCTCTGTCTAACTCCATCCCTCAGTCTCTCTGTCTCTCTCTTTACCTGGATGTGGGGGGTTTACTGAACTGGACGTTCATCAGAGCAATTCGTATCATCTCTGACATGGGGAAGGTCTGACTGAGAGCTTAGTGAGATCACAGATCTCTAAGTAAAATCACCATTGGATCCAATGGCAGCTGACATGTTTAATCATGGTTAATCAGTTAGTGACTTAGTTCGGTAGAATTACAGTGCAGTGCATGTCCCATCATGAATGATTCTCTCAAGAAAGAAAGAAAGAAAGAAAGAAAGAAAGAAAGAAAGAAAGAAAGAAAGAAAGAAAGAAAGAAAGAAAGAAAGAAAGAAAGAGGCAAGTGGAAAAAAGAGAGAGAAAAAGGAAAGAGGGAGGTGTCCCATAGTGCTAGCTAGGGAGATTCAGCCATTATTTCCCAGCCTCAGGGCTCGTTCTGAGAAGATAATCACATTACTGTACAGGGATGGGCTACTGCTCAGAACACACACACTCCCCCCCACACACACTCCTGAATGCATGCACACACACATGCACACATGCACACACAAACACACACGCAAACAAACACATGTACACACACACACGTACACACACACCATGCCCACCCACAGGGAAAGGCAAACCCCCTTCAGCCTGTTAACCATTACCTGTCAGAGAGAAGCTGGGGGGTTTAAACCTGTTGACTCTCAGCTGTCACTCATGCCAGACCAGTGGTCCCAAAACAACTTCTAGCCCCTCCCCTTTGCCCCCACCCCATCACTGTTGGTAGACATGAAAGGATCCCCAGCCTGGACATATGCACGCACACACACACAGACACACACACACAAGTCTCTCCCCCTGCAGGACCCAGAGCCTGCAGGCTAATTTGTAGCTGATGTGTTGCTGGGGAAGCACAGCTTTGTCCAACCCAGTGGAGAGTAACAGTCCATTCAGGCCTGCAGTGGCTCTAAGCCCTCACCACACAGCTGCTGTCTGTTTAAGGTGAAAAGGCCTGGGCTACAAATGAAAGGATGGAAGACAAACGAA